TTGATAAGTATGAAAATTTATTTACACAAACAAGAGATTTGGTTCCTACTCCTCTCGATGAACATACTACGTTTAAGATTACATTAGCGGACATCTGCCAACAAAACAAAAACAGCAAAATACTGTAAAATTCACATATCAAACAGCATCGAGATGCTTTAAAAGTTATTATTATTATGTGCTTTAAAAAGATAACCCTCTGATCATAAACAAGCCGGACAAAGGAGGAGGTATCGTCCTAATGGACAAAGCCGATTACATCGATAATACGAAATCAATTTCGAATAATCCGAATAAATGTCAAAAACTCAACGACGTGAAACACATAAATATGAAAACAGAGAAAATGCTGACTCATTCACTTAAGAAATTAAAAATAAAGGAATACTTACTCCAACTATGCACGATTCAATTAAACCAACTCCATCGAACACACTGCAACTCTATGCTATACCCAAAGTTCACATAACAGGACTCCCACTTCGTCCAGTTTTATATACGTATAATTCGCCTTACAATAAAACTGCAAAGTGGTTAGTTCGAATCTTCAATCCCTTAAATAAAATAATTGTTAACAGAAGCATGAAAGACGTTTCCGATTGCATTTCCAAGGTTGGACATCAGGACTGAGATGGGAAACGGATGATATCCCTACACGTTGCTTCTTTGTTAACCAATTTACCATCTACTGGGCCTATTGACTTTGTATGCCAACAACTACTTGAAAAAACTGATCAATATTAGAAATCCTGGGGTTAGTCTCAAAGAATTACTTATGAAATATACAATGAATGTCCATCTTGTCTTTAATAATAGATATTATAGACAGATTGATTGAATAGCGATTGGTTGACCTAAAGGTCTTATCCTTGCTGATTCTTTTCTTGCAAAACTAGAAAATGAACCTCTGTAAGAGGTTATCAATAAGCTTGGCTTCTATTGTCGGTAAGTTAATGATACTTCTTTCGTTCCTTAAGGTAACCCTCGTGCTATTGATAGAAGAAACCAGAGAAGTAGTGAATAGGTCTTTATTTCGATCTTCGCGCAGTCATAGTGGAGCGTGGGTTTATTTGTTCAGACAAACAAAGGCTCTCAATATTCAATATATGATAATAGGGAATATAACGCTTACACAAAGTAAGGAAGTGAATGAATACTTGAACAATACTGTTTTAGCATATGCTTGGTTGTTTGGAGTCAACTCTTAACCAACTAACCTGAGCTGTTACATTAGCTTTCCCTAGAATCGACTTCCGTAGGAACGTCGGTTCGATTAACCTATCTATCGAAAACACCTTAGTTCTATTTCTCATCCCAAGGCGAAATTGTCAACTCGCTCACTATTTGACTTACAATCAGTTACGACTAACGCTTTCAATGATAGTCCATTGATGTCTCTTCATTTAATAGCTTGTCATCTTATTTTGTAGCATGTGATCTTTTCTACAACTATCGCTGACGGTTTGCTGCGTGCTTTCAAGAGAAAGTGTGAGAATGTGGAATAAGAATACCTGAGAAAGTGCCGCGTTTCTCAGGCCGAATGGCATGCGTACAAACTGGAATAAGCCAAAGGGTGTTGTAATAGCTGTCTTGGGGATATCGTCATCAGCCACTGGGATTTTGTGATATACCCTGACTAAGTCAATTTTAGTGATTATGTTCATACCCTGTAGACCGTTTGTGAAATCTTGGATATGCGGTATTGGGTACCTATCTGGTACGGTTGGACGGTTGAGGGCTCTGTAACCCCCGCACGGTCGCCAGTCACCTTCATTCTTCTTTGGGACCATATGCAAAGGGGATGCCCATTGACTATCAGAGGGACGGATAATACCCAGTTGTAGCATATAATGGAACTCGGCTCTAGCGATTTTGAGCTTATCTGGTGCTAGTCTCCTGGGTTTTGCAAAAACCGGTGCACCTTCGGTTTTGATAGTGTGACTTACTTTTAGTTTGTCTTTAGAAGGCTGTGGGTTTGGTTTAGTTAAGTTTCGAAATTCCGCGAGTATATTTTGGAATTTCGCTGTTGTTACTGGAGGAGTTTGAATCAATTTAAGAGAGTTGATGTGACTTTCTTTGCCTTTTGTGTAATACGAAGTTTCTTTTAGTGTTAATCGCCGTTTCTTGGTGTCAACTAAAAATTCGTATCTCTCTAGAAAGTCCATCCTCAGTATTGCCAGATCTAAGTCGGCTACCGTGAAAACCCAAGGGAATTGCCTCCTGAACCCCAAATCTAGGGTTAAGTTTTTCTGCCCAAATGTCGCAGTTTTAGTTTTATTTGCAGCTTGAAGTGTAATTGATGATGCTTCTCGGCTAATCTCAGTTTTATTTTGAGGGATGATGCTAAGAGCAGCGCCAGTATCCACCAAGAAATTCAAGTTAGAGTTTCTGTCTCTAACATAAAACAAGCGACTGTTTAGGCGCCCCTCCTCAGTCGTCGCGACCTGGGGAGGGGTTACTCGTTTCCCACTGTCTTAGAATTATGCTTAGGCCAGGCGCATGGTTGCATGCACTTGGTTGAATTGACACCAAACTTCCAGTGGTACCAACAAAACTGCCCAGGTTGTCTGGACATTTGTGACCTGTTTTGTGACCTGGATCGTTGTCGTTGTGGTGACCTGCTCCTGTTTCTATGACCCATTTGCATTCTGGTGACAGCCTCAGTGAGACTCTTAACACTCGCAATGAGTCCTTCTATGACGGGGTCTTTTGCTGATTCTACTTTTTGTGTGTGATTGATTGTGCCTGGTCCAGTTGGAGGACCTCTCTCCATTATTCTATCGGCTATACGCGCTAAATGAGATAATGAAGTTTCAGGATCTCGTGCATCCAAACAGTGTTGGACGTAGCATGGGAGAGCTTGTATCCATCCTTGTTTTAGGACTGCTTCACCCACTGTGTTATCACCCATTAACACTTGGAGGTGACGCAAAAACTGTGACGGCGACCGATCACCTATTGTTTCACCTTGAAAAAGTCTTTGGATTCTTTGACTATCTGATAATGATAAACGGTTCATTATCTCTCGTCTTAAGATGGTGTATGGTTGTGGTGATGGTGGATCTAAAATCAAGTCACGGACTTCTTTGGTGATTGAAGGAGGAAGGATAGAACACAAGTCTCTACAACGAATCCCTTCAGATTTGATATTGTGTCTCGTGAAATAATGCTCTAGTTGAGCAAACCACAACTCAGGATCACTACGATCAAATTCTGGAAGTCGGGATCTCGTAGTCATAACAGTGTCTATCTCCACTGGTGACAAATCCTCCAGATTATGAGTTTCTATTGAGTCTGAAATGAGGTATGTGACAAATATAGCAATAAAGTTAGCACGAAAAATGGTTACTATAACACGAATAACTTAAGATAATACGGAATAAACTAGTTATATACTCAAATTAGTTTATAGATAATCCGGTCTACTTTTACGATTAAGTAAAACAAAGATTAATAACAGAAATGAGGTTAAATTTGTGTTCAAAACGGGCTCACCACTTTCGTGCCTTAAGGTAACCCTCGTGTTATTGATAGAAGAAACCAGAGAAGTAGTGAATAGGTCTTTATTTCGATCTTCGCGCAGTCATAGTGGAGCGTGGGTTTATTTGTTCAGACAAACAAAGGCTCTCAATATTCAATATATGATAATAGGGAATATAACGCTTACACAAAGTAAGGAAGTGAATGAATACTTGAACAATACTGTTTTAGCATATGCTTGGTTGTTTGGGGTCAACTCTTAACCAACTAACCTGAGCTGTTTCACTTCGATTATCGTCGATCAGAACATTGCTAAAGAAGAACTCTCAGAACTATTCGACAACAAACATCCAGCAATTAAATTTACGTTTGAAAATGAACCGGATAAACAACTACATTTCTTTGATGTTTTGTGAAACAGAAAATGAAATCCTTCTATCATTAGAATTGTGTACAGGAAAAGTTCTTCATCAAGCCAGTACACACTTCTTAGGCTTTGTACCTCTTCACTATAAAAGAAACTTGGTCAAATATCTGGCAAATAGAGCTAGGAAGACATCCTTGGTCGATTCAATTAACAAGGAGTTAGAGCTTGTACAAAATATATTGATTGAAATGGGTTATCCACAAGGTTTCCTGAAGAAGCACTTACATGTGACAAACAAGAAAATAGAAACATCAACGGCTAGTAAGATACCCCTTATCCTGAAGCTGCAATTCAACGGAGATGTAGCTGGTGATGTGCTACGTGATAGACTGACTAGAGCAGTGAAGAGAACGCTTAATGCAGCTAACCTCTGTCTACTGTACTCGACCCGATCTGTGATGTTTCCTCAACTAAAGGATAAGTTAACTGGTTATGCTACTTCTATGTGTATCTACGAACTCAGCTGTTCCTGTGGAGAAATCTACATTGAGCGCATTACCAGACAACTGATCGAAAGATTTAGTGAACACTATCCATCATAGTTCGGAAAAGGTACTGTCGAGACAATACCTAGCTCGGTTCTTTCACACTTGATCATTAGCGGTTATTTAGTAGACAGAAATAGGTCATTTAAAGTTATTTATTGTATTCCTACTAGTTTTCCTTATGGGGCTCAATCTCTTCTCGTACACATAGCCGAAGCTATAGGAATTTTAGCCAATAATCCAAGTCTTTGTGTTCATAAGAAATTTGTAACACCCTTATCTCTCCCTTAGCCTTAATAAGTGATTTTATCTATTATTTTTTATACTACTTGTTCGTTTGTTTATTTCCTCACCCCTTCCACCCTTTTATTTTCTCAAATATAAGCTTCACTTTTCAATTATCTGAACACTTCTTAAGAAGAAGGTATATTCGACCTTTCAATAGCTTCAATGTAAACTAAAGAGACTGAAAGCTTGATCGGTTTCGCTCACACTAAGAATGACTCGAAGATCGAAACTCGACTACAGAGATTGGTTGAATTAAAAATAACACAATCTTTGAATACTCTATCCTCTCCCTGTCAAAAATTGAAGTATATGTTAATAAAATGAAGAAAACTCCACTATTGTTGGAGAAAAAACTTGTAACAAAAGTGAAATATAACACTTCAGAAAAAGCTAGTATTTTGATTGTCTTTGTTTTACAAAACATGATATCCTCACATACGGTTAAAAATATGCTTGCAATCAATAATACATCAACATTCCTCAATAATAATTCTCAAATCATGTTGTTAGGTACGACTAGTAACAGAATAAGGACATATTTCGGTAGTCCAGTTCTTTTCAAATTTTGAATGCAAGATTATTATTGTATGTATCAATCGATCCTTTGGGAAAATTGTTAACCTATTGTTTATTTACTTACTGATAATACACAGTAAAATTTTAATTTAAGAAGAGAAATTAATCACTCGATAGTAAGAATTAATTTTCTATATAACCATGGAGTTCAGTCTTTTTTGATAAAATTAGGTACTATCCGTTGTTATAGTTACCAAATATTGTTATTAAACGCTTTAACCAACCGGATTACAGATATGAAGCAATAAACAGGTGAGAATGTGCCTCAATGTTGGTATATATATGGTAGGAAATGTTCAGTGAAAAAAATTCAAAGCTTATATTATCATCTCAAAATCAAGAACTGTGAAGGCAAATGGAAAATATACCTAAAAATTCAAAAACCACCTTTTTCTTATTCGAACTGCTGTCAACAATTTGCTCAGTGTTAATAATAATTGCCATTGTGACCTGCGAATTATACACATATAATATAAGAATTGTCCCACTGACATTTTATGCAGGTTACTGGACAAGTCCATTTATCCTATTTACTGCCGTAATTTATTCGATTGAAAAAAGCAGACATGATGGGAAATTTTACAAACTAGCCATATCACTCGCTTTATTTAGCTTGCTTGTTTGCTTGATTGGTATTATGCTTTCGTTATTTGCAATATATTGGATTATTGACATTATAGATGCACAAGTTTATTATGAATATCGGGTAGAAATCATTGTTCAAACTGCATTGCTTATTTTAGCTAGTGGAATATGTTTAATGGACGTTTTCTCATTGACATGTTGTTGCTGTTTAAATATTTCAACTGTACCAAAAGACATAATTATTGACCAAAATAATTTGGGAATTCATTCGAAAAATGAACAACAATTACCAGCCCAAGTTACTAATATCACGGGTCCTTCACAGTTACCTTCTTACCCTCAAGGATACCAAGTAAATCAAGGTTATGATCAGAATTACAGTCAACTTAACTTCCCACCACCTTATAGTTAATTGCAGGAACCTTAAAATGGATATACTCAGTAATAAATATGTTTGCTGTAAAATACAGATTTCACGTGAAATCGTTTTGAAAATTAATACATCTATCGTCAATACTGACTACAAACTTGCACCTTAACACTTAGTACAAAAGAAATCCTCACTCATTTTAATAGCTTGTTAAGCCAAACACTTATTTCCTTTCAGATTCTGGTTTTATTTACATAAAAATATCTAGTTCCGACTAAAATGAAACGATTTATGAAGAAAAAATACTGCACAGACTTGTGTTCGACAGATCTCCGTTCCACATAATTTCACTGTAACCTGTTGCAAGTTAACTAAACCGAATGTAATTTAAGTAACCCGCAACAAATCCACCCACATCCTTTAAGAGATGCCGGCACTGTCATCCATTCCAAACTGACTTAGTTTGGGGACAAATTGAATGACTATAAACCAGACACCCTAAGCACTAGAACATTACCAACCATCGTCGGTTTCTCGAATATTCTTGGTGTATCGATAATGACAACTTAAATTAGTAATGACAGTGATGCTTTTTCTTTCTGCAGATGACTTGATTGACCGGATCTTTTTGAATTGTCGGATTTGTTTTATTACAAGACGTTTACTATGCATACAACAGTTACAGTTACGATGCAGACATCTCAATTTTGTATGTTTCAGGTCTCAGCTTTCAGACCGATTATTATTAACACCAAACACTTCCCATTTTCTTAACTGACTTATAAATACGACAGTGAACTATCAGAAAGAAGCAAAAACGCATTTAAGTAACATAGTTATGTTCGCCAGCCAAAACAGCTAATCAACTACTATCGCGAAATGTATTCACATAGTATATTATTAACTAATTAATGTCAATTACTGAAAACCATATGTGTTTAAATTTAACCGTTGACCAGATATTTAAGATGACATATACCCCAATATCAGTTTTGGTCCGCTGTTAATCAGTGGTTGGTACATGATTAGAACTTCACTCGCAAACTACTTCTTACCTGGGTCTAGTAATATCAGTCTACGTCCCGTTGTGACAAGTAACAGATTTTTCAGTCATAACAACTAGCCATACATGTAGCAGTTCTAGCACTTGACAAAGTTACAACACAAATAGTTAAATCACTTTCGAGATATTACTACTCAACGGCACAGTGGGCTATTTTATTTACTACTTTGTGCTTAACTATTAGGGTCGTAATAAAGGTTTCAGTTTGCAACTTATCTTAAACAAATATGTGACCTTTACTGTGAATTGCAGCACATAGGTTTGTATGATCAACTATAGGCTTGAAAAAAAGTAGCCACTTAATTGGAAATTTCTATCGACCAAAATTAACTAAGTGAGAGTCTCAACTTCATGTACTTGATTACAAGCCACAATGTGTCCATAATCCAAATTAGACGAAAAGTACGCAGTACTTGAGGATGTCGAACAGGAACTGTAAACCGGACTACATCCAAAAGTTATCGTAACAAGTTACATGTTTTGTGAATCATCTTCGTCAAGCTTCCTAACAACATTCTAGTACATATATAAGAACTCTCGTCTAAATTAGAGCGAACAGTTTCACAGTATTTGAGCGCCGAGTTGATGTAAGATATTAAATAGGAATAATAAATTAATAAAATATCAGCGAATGAATTTGTAGTAAATCTAACGTTTCGCCTGGCAATCTGGTCCGAGCTTTTTCAAGGAATTATTAATTCCTTAACATTCTAGTACATTTAAAAATGTGTCAACTCAAAATTAAAACATCTGATTACTATTGAGAACAAATTTACATTTAGGAAAGAAATAGTCTATGGGATTCTAAATATTTTAGTAAGTGTTATGAAACTACAAAATATACTTATTATTCGGCAGAAGAAAACTAATTGCCGAGATTTTTTGACCGAAGAGTGTACTCAATCTTATTAAGACTCACGGTTAGCCTTATTAATATACTTTGATGCATAGGTTTAGTGCGTATATTTTTTCCCTATGACCTATTTTTAAACAAAATCTACCAGTGTAACCAACTGAAGTTTACTTTCGTTTATAGCAAATAATTCGCAAAAATTGGCCTTAAATAATTTACGTTTCATGGAAATAATACGTGTGGCATCAAAATAATGACATTAGAAAGATAACGAAAACTGAATAAATAAGTTTTATACATTAGCGCGTAGGTTTAAAGAAGTTACAAAGAAGAATCTAGTCTAGCGGCGTGTGTTCGAATTTTTCCGAAAATTTTGTTCGGCGGAGCACCTAATATCAGATCACATATTGCACGTCGGGCTACTGCTATACGGTCATTGCTTCCTAGAATATGGATGGTTTCATCGGCAACAACTATGCGAGTCCGTGTAGCGTTTTCAATGCACATACGAATACGACCTTTAGCGCCACAAATACGCCCCACTGCTCGAGCCATGTGATCACCCTGAAAAACAATAATCAGAAATCATATTAGAAGTGATATCAGTCAAACAGTATCGTGTGACACATGCAAGATTAAAACACAGTTTTGGTTCAGCACTTCAGTAAATTTGTCATGAGCTGATTTCGGACTCTAACCTGATATTTTTTAGCCGAATGGTATTTATTGCTCAGTGTCTGAAACTGTATGTGGTTTCTCTGCTTACTTTGATTTGGATATCCAAGGTTAATCATTAAGGTAACCCTCGTGCTATTGATAGAAGAAACCAGAGAAGTAGTGAATAGGTCTTTATTTCGATCTTCGCGCAGTCATAGTGGAGCGTGGGTTTATTTGTTCAGACAAACAAAGGCTCTCAATATTCAATATATGATAATAGGGAATATAACGCTTACACAAAGTAAGGAAGTGAATGAATACTTGAACAATACTGTTTTAGCATATGCTTGGTTGTTTGGGGTCAACTCTTAACCAACTAACCTGAGCTGTTTCACTTCGATTATCGTCGATCAGAACATTGCTAAAGAAGAACTCTCAGAACTATTCGACAACAAACATCCAGCAATTAAATTTACGTTTGAAAATGAACCGGATAAACAACTACATTTCTTTGATGTTTTGTGAAACAGAAAATGAAATCCTTCTATCATTAGAATTGTGTACAGGAAAAGTTCTTCATCAAGCCAGTACACACTTCTTAGGCTTTGTACCTCTTCACTATAAAAGAAACTTGGTCAAATATCTGGCAAATAGAGCTAGGAAGACATCCTTGGTCGATTCAATTAACAAGGAGTTAGAGCTTGTACAAAATATATTGATTGAAATGGGTTATCCACAAGGTTTCCTGAAGAAGCACTTACATGTGACAAACAAGAAAATAGAAACATCAACGGCTAGTAAGATACCCCTTATCCTGAAGCTGCAATTCAACGGAGATGTAGCTGGTGATGTGCTACGTGATAGACTGACTAGAGCAGTGAAGAGAACGCTTAATGCAGCTAACCTCTGTCTACTGTACTCGACCCGATCTGTGATGTTTCCTCAACTAAAGGATAAGTTAACTGGTTATGCTACTTCTATGTGTATCTACGAACTCAGCTGTTCCTGTGGAGAAATCTACATTGAGCGCATTACCAGACAACTGATCGAAAGATTTAGTGAACACTATCCATCATAGTTCGGAAAAGGTACTGTCGAGACAATACCTAGCTCGGTTCTTTCACACTTGATCATTAGCGGTTATTTAGTAGACAGAAATAGGTCATTTAAAGTTATTTATTGTATTCCTACTAGTTTTCCTTATGGGGCTCAATCTCTTCTCGTACACATAGCCGAAGCTATAGGAATTTTAGCCAATAATCCAAGCCTCTGTGTTCATAAAAATATTGTAACACTTATCTCTCCCTTGGCATTTATAAATGATTTTATTTTCCATACTCTTTCTTTATTTCTTTTTTCTCCTCACCCCTTTTTGTCAGTTATTTTTTTATTTTTTCAAACATACATTTCACGGTTTAATTATCTGAACACATCTTATTACATAATCTCATAAGGTTTATGAACGTTACCTCAGTGTCTATATTTTTCTAATCGTAGACCAACATCCCATTATGTAACCTCGATCCAAGCCTTTACTATTCCTATCACAACTGTTACACCTGTCATAACACAATCAACTTGTACTTTTCATTTATTATTTTTAGTTATGTAATCTATTTCACTGTTATCATTGACTATTGGCTATTGGCCAAACCATCCCGGCCTGACTCGAGTAGACAACCAATCATTTGACAGAGAACATCTACGCCGGTGATCTACATTTCTTTGAGATCTGCTTCATTTCATTGTATATGTTCATATATCTGACTGAGTGCGTGCTTGTTACCTATCTGTTATTTATGCTCCTGTAGTCTGTTAGCACAATCTATCAATTTTCACAACTGATGTATAGATATATACTAATATTCATTACACGCTCAGTGAGTTTACTTTCCCATTTCCTTGTCGTTGTTTTTTAAACTGCTGACATATCGTATGTTCAACTGGGTGATATTCCAACACACATAAATGTTCTTGATGCTCAGTCGCCCGACATTTTAATTAAGAAGATTTACCGGCATCCTCATCGTTTGAAATTCCCTAAGCAGTGAAAAACAAGGTGGATAGATTGAAATCGAATTAAACCCTTGATGGACTTATCGATTGTCTAGAGAATTTTATGATAGTCATGCACTTGTCTCATCATGATAAAAACTGCTGGGGTCGGACGTCTTATTAGTTTTATCCGTTCACTTAAGCCCAATACAACTCAACTCACAACAGCAGATACCTTTATTTTACTCACTTCATGGCAACATACACACAATTTATATTCTCGCGGCCCAATAAGTCAAACCATCCGTCCAGTCTACGAAAAACTCCACTCGATTTTATTCCATAATACAAGACAGGGACAAGCATTGCATCGTTATTTTCACTTCTCAGGATATCAATTTACACAATTCGGTTTTCATTTTATTTCCATTCTGGGAAGGACATTAGCTAATGTTGGTTACGTTAGTCCTAGAAATAAGATTTCCCGATCAACCCAATTTTCTTCTAAGCTCGGAATCTTTGTTGGAGCCTAGATAGGAACGCATTCACCCTCATGAATAGTTTTTCATTTATTCTGATGTAACTATGTCAACATAGCCTTATGCATTGAACTTAGTCAGAAATAACGCTAAAGATGACGAAGTTATATTAGTACCTAGTTTCGGTCCCTAAGACCACGTCAAGTTTGTCGAGTGGCCAAAAAGTTTGTGCGACATGAATAACGTTAATTGAATTACGGGCAGGACAAAATATGTCCTTGAAAGATTCACAATTGGGTCTCCCTGATGACTCGTAATGCCCTCTCCTGCGTCCGGTAGACTTACATCTAGTTTATTAAGCAGACAGAAGATATAGAGTCTCTCAATGGTCACAATTTACCTGGTGTGGTTGTGGTACTGAGGAAATTGTATCTGTTTAATATGTAGATAACTTATGTCGTCTGAGAATCCCTGAGTCTTGGTACAGGAGTCTCCCACCGGGATGTATTACAGACATCTCCAAATAATGCAAGAATACAATCTCCTATCTCTGTCTTCTGTTTTTCGCACGAATGAGGGCGATTTCTTCATCCCATTTCATTTAAACGAGCTTTGCCCCTAACTATTGTACAGACTCACATGAGGTAAAGACACGAATATTTCAAGGATCCTAAAATTAGTATTTCTAATGTATAGGGCTGTTTCTCTTCATTTTTGCATATGAGTTCTTTCAGCGTCTACCAATTTGTAGATTTCGTAGTCAATTTTTCCACATTTTTATTCTGGGCCTGTTATGTGGTTTTTAACCTATTTCGCTTGTAGGTTGAATACTTTCTTTAGATGCCCTTCGAGAAACAGACCTAGCCTCGTTTAAGTAATGAGTACATTTTCTTGACCTAAGCTATTGAAAAAGTGAAAAACAGACAGCAAACGCTTCAATATATTCCTTTAATGGGTTCTTACTTATTACGTACATCTTTTCAAGCGGACGTCGTCTCTTTTGTTCGAAAGAATACCCAATTATACTCTCGTTCTAGCCTGCTATGTTTTGACTTATCAGTCAACTCAGCAGGCATAGCCAGATTTATTTCGATGGAGACGAGTGCATTTGAGCGTAAACATACTTTTTTTTAGAAACGTTCACCATCGCACAAGATTCTAATAACAATCTCACTGCGTCTGAGAAACTCTTTGGGATAACTACACACATGTTCGTATACCATGTTTTTTTAAAATGTCTGAGTGCAGACGTCCTTTCATCACACATTTCGCTCATCCTACTGAGTATCGACAACCCGAAGATACATTTTTCATAATATTCAGTCGTAACTCAGAAGTTTTTTAATAACACGGGAAGAAAATGAAGGCAAAAAGCGAAAACCATACATACAGGGGAGGAAAGCCGTTTGTAAAACCTGAGGTTCTCTGTATTGCAAGTGTTGATAAACAATTTAGGTGGCCTGTCTGGAGGCTGAACCTACTGAATTTGGACGGCAGTGATGTGACTCAGCTTGTGTTGAAGACGCACCTTGAGGCCAGTGCTCAAACTGAATTATCTTATCGTCCTAACCAGATAAATTAAATGCTTTAGTGGCTGACTGGAATAAATAAGATTACTTCTGAAGCGGAACGTATCGAAAAGAATGGATTCGTGAAATGCAAAGTGAGACGACTCTTCAAATACCTGAAAGTGGCACACATGTGATAGACAGATAGTAGTCATCATTGACCTTGACGGTGTCTTATACATTGTTTATTGTTCATTGATTTGTTGTTTCAAGAAGAAATGTCTCAGCCCGATGACTAGTTTTCTCAGGTCTTAGAGATATTTCTTTGATGCGGAAAAGTTCGAGTGACATCCACCAAGTAATTCAAAAAGTCAAGAATCGGAGGTGAATTTCGCATAATTACGTGGAATGTGGTGCATGCTTAAGAACACGGGTGGTACTGCTCAGAGTGGAAACTTTCAAAGACGACTCATGAAGCCAATGTGCGAACACCATGCGCATACCAAAAACAAATCGTATGTCAATTTATACATTCATTACCCAGTTATAATTTGCTTAGCGAAAGCTCGGATAATTGGCTAGTCGAATAAGTTTGACACACGGCTTGATTTATTGTAATGTGTGCACTTTCAGATAGAAAGCCTGTTCATATATTGACAGATTACAGATTAAAAATAAGAAACAAATTAGATTGATAAATCAATAGCAATACGTTAAGGTTAGTTGAATCATTATGAAGCAGACCTGTTGTTCTGTTCCTAAAGTGCACTTAAACCTAACCTGCTGATATAAAAGAATGTGAATCATAGTTTATGTCCAATATTACAATCATATACGTGTTCCACAATACTCTCAAACTAGTATCCATCAACCTTAATGCTGAACCTATGAAACGGAAATGTGATCATTGTGACTGCCATAAGATTTTGATAAGTTTTATAGATCTCGTGCTATACGTCGCACTATTGTGCACTATTTGAGACTTCTTAGACTGTGAGATCACCTTATTAAATACCGACGTTTTTTTCCTAATTTCCTAGCTTTACCCTTACATGGTGAAAATGACCTACCTTTACTTATGTATTTATTATTTGTAGCTAGTTCTCATTCTGGATGTGGGAGAAGTCACACTAGTGTTTGCTGTAGGTTTTATTTAGATCGTGTGAACGAAGAGCTAAAGGCTCAAGGTTCTAACTTCAAACGCTCAAAACTTTCAATATTCAGTGTGGAACAATAGGAAATACAGTACTTATGCGAAGCAAGGAAGTGAATAACAACTTGAGCTATGATGTTTTGACATTGCCAACATGTTTTTGACCAAATGTTATTCACCCAGTTAACGCTGTTACATCAGCTGTCTCTTGAAAACGACTTCCTCGAGAATTTCAACTCTATCATTTAATCAGATAAAAACGTAATTTCAGTCTCCGCAGCCCTACATAGAATAACTAGCTCCTTCAGTATTTGGCCTTCTCACTTCTGCAATCAATGACGACCTCGGCCCATTTAATATCATTTTATATAGAATACCAGCTTGTTACCTTATTTTAGAAACATGTGCAAGAGCAATATTTTTCGATGTGATATATAGAACAAGTATAATACATATGATATAATAGATCACCTAATGAACCCGTAAAACCTGTCACCTGTAAAGCCACATACAGTAAGCAGGATCCTGAGTTAGAACACCATGCATTGTGCTACAGTTGCCGGAATCTTCCAACGAGTGGCTGCAGCAATATCTAAATTGATTAAATACAACTTTTGTAACAGTCTAGACTACTCCATTACACTGAGACTACTATAACACTCCAGTAATTGCTTTGGGATATTGCTTCAGTAAATTGAAGCATAAAAGTAGGTACAACACAAACGACGTTATTGAAAATATATATGGATAAGAGATGACACAAGGGACAGAGTGCAACCACTGCTGCATGAGGCAGTTCATGACGTGCAAATAACTTCTGTGGGTCGCATGTCCCTGACCTTGACGAGGATCGGTATATTGTTCGATATTCATTAGCCTGACTACCTGATGATTTGGCTAGAGCACAGTGACATTTCTACTGAGCTTACATTCTCAAAGTGAGCTTTCAACTGCTCAAAACAATGAATTTTCCTTGCAAATGCGAAATAAAACATATACCCTGTGAAAGGTTTAGTACCCAAAAAATTACAACTATGTCCATCAATCCGTTACACTTCAAAATTGTCGAGATTGTAAGAACAATTGCAATAATACAGAAGAGAAAAAGACTATGATTAGACATATTGGGCAAAAGAAAGGATAGATACAGAAAGTCAATAATGGAATAGTTCCATCATTTTATCAAATACTCTCACATGAGCTAACAAATAGAGTCTACTCCATTAAGCTCGAAAAACTCAACAATCAGGATAATTGTTCTAACCAACATAAGAAGTTTTTCTGAAAGTATTTTTATCTTTGAACGAAAACTTCAATTTTGTTGTATCTCACGTTTCCAACCCTGACGCATGTCAGAATATCGCTTCAAGATATGACAAATGATTTTTAAGGCATTCGGTGCTCATATTAGTAAAGAGGTTATGCTTTTCCTTCATTCAATGATTTCAAATTCTTATCATATGTAACGATGAAATTAGTATTTCTATCTACTTTGGTGAATATACTTATGGAGCTTTCTGGGGTCAGTTTGAATGAATCAACGCTATAGCGGATAAATCAGATGCTTTGTTCGACCTTTCTTTAAGCGGTAAGTATAAACGTTCCTGACTTTTTTTTTACCGAGCGGCTATATTTTACATATCTGTTGTCCTGTCAGCTTATGTTATGTGCTGTATTCATATTTATAGATTACAATATTTGGTAGGAGATTAGTTGTCGCCGGTTTTACCATTGTAAGTCGCAATCCTCAAATTTTTTTATATGTATGCTTAAATCTGTAAACCCTACATTGCTTTTAAACGCTCATGTTCGTGATTGGCGAGACTATAATTTGGGGACAAATCAGTCACATTTGAGATAACAGATCTTATATTTTAACTCAAAATTCATTCACTCATTCGGCTGAATACCATTTCGGCATTATAGCTGATGTTAAATCGCCGAATTCACATTCAGTCTTCAGTAATAAGGATAGTAGGTTGATGAACCTGTGTTAATCCTGACAGATTTCCTTCCAGTGAAGGTCCAGCTTCTTTTTGAAAATGTTCACTGATGGTGCTGATACCACTTGTTCTGGTAAAGCGTTCCAGTCATTGACCACTCGATGAGAAAAACGGAACCCCACCTTTAGTTTATTAGATCGCGGTTTCAGAACCTTCTTGCTATGACCCCGGAGATTATTAGTGCTGGAGAGAGCAAAAAGATAAGACATATTAACACCCAGATCATAATTAAAGATACGAAATGCCAGTATAAGGTCACCTCGCGTCCTACGATAAGGGGAAAAGGTTTAGACGTTTTAAACGCTCATCGTAAGGGAGTTTAGAAAGACCCTTTACTAATTTTGTCCCTACACCCTGGACACGCTCGAGCGATTTAGTATCCTTTATCAGACAAGGGCTAGCTGCTTGGATACAGTATTCTAAGTGTGGCCTTACATAGGTGGGATATAAAGTTCGAAACATATCCTCGTCAAAGCATTTAAATGCTCTGCGAAGCGACCATAGCGCGCGATAGCCTTTGGAAGCAACCGCATTGCAGTGTGTAGTAGTTTTTAAGTCGTGACTTATAATTACTCCTAAGTCTTTATGCGCATGAACGCGTGGCAGAGATGTACCATTAATGGTATAGTGGTAACTAATATCATGCCCGATGTGCATGAACACGTTCTTCCTAGAATTAACTTCCAGGCCCCAATCATGAGCCCACCTAACTAATTCGTCTAAATCTGCTCGCAGATAACAACGATCAGTCTCATTTCTTATTGTTCTCCAGATTTTAACATCATCCGCAAATAATAACTTCAACGACTTAAGTAATAAAGGTAGTTCATTAATATACAGAAGGAAAAGTAAAGGGCCCAAGATGGTGCCTTGGGGTACACTACTTTTGGCCGGTTTCCATTCGGATAGAGTTCCATTGACTCTCACTCTCTGTCTGCGGTCACATAAGAAGCTTCCTATCCATTCCTGTATAGCACCTGTTATACCAAAGCTCGAGAGCTTTTGCATAAGACCTAAGTGTGAAACATTATCAAACGCTTTGCTAAAATCTATGAATATCACGTCGACAGACTGGCCGTTGTCTAGTGCAGCTGTCCAATCCTCTCTCGCAATGAGTAAGTTAGTCAAGCATGAATGCTTGTTACGAAACCCATGTTGCTCGGGAGTTAACAGATTGTACGAATCTATGTGGCTCAGTAGCTTAGCCCGAATTAATTTTTCAAGTAACTTAACTACTATACTGGTCAGGCTAACAGGCCGGTAGTTAGATACGATCCCTCTCTGACCATCCTTAAATATAGGACTAACTATGGCGTCTTTCCAGTCTCTAGGTAGTTGAGCCTGTGAAAGGGACATGTTGAAGAGCATCGTGAGCGGTCTTGAGATAATGTCCGCAAGCGACGACAGTAAACGTGGGTGTAACCCATCGAAGCCCGGTATCTTACAAGGTTTTAGGTTAGTTATCAAAGGAAGAACAATATCCTCTGTCACGTGCAAAGGTCCTATGGCTGGTATCTCATTGTCAACGGGACAAGTAGTTGTAACACTACACGTAGAGTAGACTTCACTGAAATAGTTTGCGAATGTCTCCGCTTTCGCTAGATCAGATTCAGCCAATAAAGCTGAATTTTCGCTTAACAGTAATGAGGGGATACCATCACTACGTTTCGTCCGCCTTTTAACATACGAAAACAGTCGCTTCGGACAGGTACGGCTATCGTATGCCAACTGTCGTTCGTAAGCCGTGCGGGATTTAGCTATGGTCTTTTTACATATATTCCGGATTTTTTTATATTCGCACTTAAATGTTGCCTGACCTGTTGACAAGAATAAGTCCCAGAAGTGTTTCCTACGCTTCAACAGCTTCCGGGTTTCCTTATTAATCCATGGGGGGCAATATGATAGCTTACGTGCTGACCATGGGATAAACGGTTGAGTTACGGATTCGAACGTAGACTTGAACCTATTCCATGCATCATCAATCGATCCATCAGCATCGACCGACCAGTCAATTGAGATAGCATAGTCCCTGATTGCCGGAATATTAGCTCTCCAGATATTAGGACGGGGTGGAGCAGATGCAAATTCTATACCATGTATCCGGAACTTAAAGGAAAGTACGACATGGTCACTATTCACCAGTGGGGGAAGGTGTTGAATGTCGACGATATCTTCACAGTGGTGTGTGAGGACAAGGTATATCAATGACGGATTATGTTCCAAGTCTATATGCGTCGGCTTAACGATACATTGTACAAGTGCACATTGAATAATTGATGACAGAAGGACGCTATCGAAACCGCCACCTGGAGCTGTGAGCTCTATCCAGTTTATATGGGGTGCATTGAAGTCTCCAACGATGAGACAACATTCTGCTTTACTCCAAGAACAGACGTGTCTTAAGATAAAGTCGTCAGCGAGACAACACGGACTACGATATATTCCTCCTATCGTCACTAACCCGTTTCTAGACCTAATTGTACAAAATACTACCTCACACGTACCACTTACATGCGCCTCCGATATGATCGAGTTAATGCGGAAGTGGTCCCTAATATATAATATTATGCCTCCTCCCTTGCGACTTCTAACTCTATCACTTCTGACACAGATGTAGCCTGAAATGACTGGAGAACAGTCTATATCTACAGTGAGCCAAGTTTCGGTGATAACAATTATATCCGGATTTAAGTCGTCTACCATCAAACTTAGTTCAGACATCTTATTCCGAAGACTACGAGCATTCGTATAACACACATTTAGGGTGTTTTTGGAGACATGCGTTCTACCCACACAGCTCTCGGAAGCATTGGCTTCCAAGACCTGACTACCCGAAAACCCTTAATCGTAAGGTTCGCTTCACCGTTTAGCCTTCGAGTTTTTAACTCTGTTAGGGCATTCTTCCACTTGATCCGATCCTCAAGTGGCCAGTCAGGTCGAATACGAATGTTTGAGTCACGAGTTTTGCGTGAGTTATTTAGTAATACGTCCCGTTCCTCAAAATTACCGAGTACTAATTTAAGGATCCTTCTCTGTTGGGTTTCGCCTCCAACATACCAAGTCTGATGACTTTCGAGATATGTACCCCTGGGACCTCCTCTGGCAGTATATTTCTGATGAGAGATCCCACTAACTGCAGGTCGTGGGCATGTCTCTTAGCGGGATCGGTGTCTTTCGATTCTGCCAAGTTCCAGATGATTACACTAGGCACCTGTTTAACTTCCTTAAAAGTCGTGTTCACGGCCTTTGACCGTGATGACATCCTGCCGGTTAGCTACCGGCTTCTTACTGTTAGCTTTCTTTATAACAGTGTCATGTGGGTCGAGCGAGTTACTCCCAACAACATTTGGTGAATTTAGGCTATTTCCATCCACAAAAGTATTAAATATTTTCTTACATTTGGACTTGAGCGGAGTTGCCTGATGCTCAGAACGTGAGTCCAACGATGAATTATCGACTATACGTGCGCTTTCTTTGGGTATTTTTCCGTCTCTTTTGCGTTTCCGCGTAATCCATTTACCACTATTCTCAGCATCCAGATTGGAACTATTCTGGACGATAGTGGTTCTAGCCGGGTATTCAGTCGCTGCTAAAGCGACTGGTCCCTCAATACTTAATGGCATGGCTTTCATTGGTTGTACCGGAGTACAGATTTTTGCTTCATGTTGCGAAATTGGGTGTCTGGCAGCATTTACGACACTGATACAATCTTCATTATCAGTATCCATGTTGCCGGCACGGCCTACGTCGACCTTTTTAGCTAACGCTAGAAGGCTGATGGCTTCCTGAATGAGTAATGTCTTGCTTGAGCAACAAAACATACAGAGCAAATGAGAATTTGGTTTCGAGCACCTTTTATAGGCAGCAGGGCTTAAGCGGGTGCACATTTTATGAAACCACTTCTTACATTCGTCACATTGCATCCCTCCTTCCACGGGGAATAAGCAATATGGCTGTCCACACTTGTGTACAGAGCCGACCATCTTAGAATAAAGCAAAATGATAGGCAAGGTAGATATGTAAGATAAATCACAACCTTATCAAATAAACAAGCCGCAGTCGACCAAGAATGCTTTGATGCAGTAAATACACAAAAGCAAGATCAAAACACACAAATACAATGTCACGTTAACTGAAATAAATTCAATTAAAGTGTAAACGGTAGTTTTGATACGTAATTTACGATCAAGACAGTGAATTAAGCTCAACGTGAAACAATTGGTTCCTAGGAGCTTACAGGATGTTTCCCATGATTAACCTTGCTATTATGGCGCTAATTCCTTATATAATGTGGCACATTTAAACAAGTGATTAAATGAAGTAGCGCATAAGATATATGGCTTTTATTTTCTGACATCTTTAGAATCATTCGTAATATGAGCGACTGTCTAAAACCTTACATCGTAAGTATTTAATTACTTTCCATCCGAAGGCTTTCTTAAAAAGTTCTTGGATTTCGCCCAACTTGGTACACCGTAGCTACCAGAGCAGTTCACATTCTTGGATTTAGTCTAATTTATATTAGACATGTTTTTAAATGCTTTGTTTTTACCATGGTACGACGTTTTGCGTGTGCACTTTCCTGCAACTGCAGATCGTTTCGTCAAATACGTCAAAAACTATCTTCCGCTCTACATGTAATAATAAGCAGTTAGTTTGGGAAATACATAGGTAGACAAATATTTAAAACTAAGCAATTATTATTAAGTGTAGCTGAGATTTACTTAGATACAAACTACGAATACTTGAGGTTCTCAGTATCCTATTAAGGTTCACTGTTCTGAAGGGAAAAAGTTCATGCTCTAATGTTTTTACTTGCCAGAATGACAGTCGACGAACAACGCAGCTCGTAAAATACTCCTATACAATGCCAGCTGAGGAAGAACGTATAGTTCGAAAATCCACGGTCTATAAACGTAATCGGTAACTATCTAGCTTTACTTATGGTTTGTTTTTAGAAAGCAAGCTCGCAGCGTACTCAAAGGCGAAAAGGTACTTCATCGATCAACAAGAAAACAAGTTGTAAAAGTAACTACTCCACCTATCTCTGCAAGGCTAAGAAGTGCTGATACACAACAAGCATTTGTCAAAACAAATGTCAAATTGGATACCCTCCTAGTGAAAACGAAAGGTCGTAAATCTGTTGCTCGTGTGAATCAAATAAAGGAGAACGGTAAATATCTTGATTTAATAGCCGAAAGTAATGGAATGTCCGATGTGTTGAACAACAATAATTCGTCCACTGGTTCTTTACGGAATGGAACAGAAGATGAAGTCCCAGAAACTCCTGTTCTTCAACCCATGACAGGCTCACGTCTTTGTAGCACCATGTAGCAATATTCATGTTTTCTGTTCAGCTTTTTGATACTTGTATTTTATTTTTGAAAAAATATAATATTTGTGAGTATTTATTAATGTGTATAACCTCAATAAGTACTTAGGTCAGGGACTGAAATTCCACCGTAGTGTTTTCACTAACTCTCCGACAAAAGATGTAAGTTGTAACGATTCGCGGACCAAACCTTGAGTGCTCATCAGAAAATATCACAAATCGACTCTCGTTGAGCATAATATTTCGTAAGTTTTCGAATGCACTCAGGATATTAAAGTAGATCACAGCTTGAGTAAGAATACATGCTAAGAGAAAATTATGTAGAACTAATTTTTAAAAAAAACTTTGAATTCATTCTCAACTACAATTTACATCCTCAGCAAGTTATATTTTTCCGACTGGTAACAAGTACAATATGCAAACAATACTTTGCATGACTAAAAGCTTTGTCAGAATGTAGTTTATTACAATTTGAAGGTAACTGTTATCAACAGTTTGTCAAAATCTTGAGTTTTGCTCAAGGTGAGTATATGACTGACTTTTGAGCCCTATATAAAAGTGTTCATGTTATTTCTACTTAGAATTAAGAGGAATATGTTTTTACCCAATTTACTGTATTAAGAAACCCGCGTTTCATCAGTTCTTCAATCCAGGAATTGTGTGCCATTTTTTGTGAAGTCGATCAGAACACGTGTACAGGTATAGTTAGGTAACAATTATATATACTGTGCATAATGAAAAGGAAAATTATGTAGACAGTGGCGCATCGGCAAGTTCCAAATTCCTGAATTTCTCTGCATCATAAAATCCAGCCTTTACGACACGTCCAGCAAAAAATCGGCCATTCAGATCAAGTACCGCTATAGAAACAAACCAGCGGAGATGAATATTAAATGAAGCAGAAATTATATGAAAATAGAGAAAACGGTATAAATGAGAACCACGGAACTTTATGCTAAACAATTCTGCACAAGTAGGAGCTGTCGCATAGCAGTAATATAATTCGCTTTTAAGCTAGTAGTTTGTAGGTCCGAATGCATTCTCATTGGCCCACACAAGTGTAGTTTAGGACTGGATGTGTGAGCCTGTCCTTGATTTAAAAATTTGGATTATATCAGAAGCTGTATTTCTTTTCAAAAACGCAGGTTGCTGTTGTCTTGAACTGATATAGTTTAAACTCCTGTTTATAAATAGGCAGTTATTCACGGGTTGATTTCAGTTAGAGAACTACTGCAAATCAAAATAACATGGACAGCTATTTTGTCGGAGTTTCGAACCCGTCAGTAGTGTGCTTCCAGCACTACGGAGTATTGAATCCGTGAAGTTAAGACTTTTCAGAGACAGCCTAAGATGTAAAAGTTGAGTTAGCATCTAGTGATTTGAACTTACAACTTCAGTTAATTTGTGATGTGTCGGCGCCCCTCACCGCCTGCTGTCGGTGATATTTGTGTCAGCTCGACTCGGTTAGACTCCACTGATCACAGCTGTCACTGGAGCTCCAGGAACCAAGCGCATCACAGGAAAGTCTGAAACAGCTTTTCAGTGCTTTCCTTTTTTCCCCAATAGTAATGCAACTGAAACTAATCTATGATGTTAAATTTGGAACCCAATGATCTCTGCAAATCCAGTGGTAGTCTGTCATTTATATACACTTAATTGCGCCAAAGAAATTCGTGCATAAACTCCATTGTACAACGAAATTTTCGTTGATGTCATAACAACCGGAGATTTTATTTGATTATAAAATAATCACAAAGATCATTTAAAATCGCAGTGATATTCCAACAAATTAGTACCTTTCTACATTTTATCAGCGATTGTATAGGTTGAATAATTTGTCTCACCAAAATATTTTGGCACGGACAAAAGACGGACTCGCTGTTTAAAATTATTTCAAATTGCAACTATTTATCCACAAGTGAGAGAAGGATATCGATAACACTCTGGGACTTAACAGAAATTAAGAAATTTTGAGATCTTTTTGTCTTGAAAACGCTTGGTTAAATAGTACGCAAATAAATGCATTATGTGGATATAAGTGAGTACAAACGACAGGAAAATGATACGCGACTGAAACTACCATTTATTCAAAATACTGAGAAATCAACTCTTTATGAAGATGTATGCACAAAAATACATACCTTTTGTTGCTGCTTCTTCAGATTCGAATTCCACAAAAATACGAACTACTTCATCATCTGGAGCTTCAGGCAACTCATAAATCATACACATTACTACCTTGCCATATTTAGCACATTCTTCAGCTGTTTCAGGTTCTAGATCATCATCAACTTCACCTGGTCCACACATATTACGTAAAAGAATAACCTAGAAACCAGAAATACAGATAATTGTAAAGCCGTAGATTTTGCGTATGAGTAGAAATTGTTTATGTTAAAGAAAAACCATGCTTGAACTTCTCAAATATAAGAGGTAAAAAATGTATGACTTAATTATTTAACCATCTAACTGTTTTACATAAAATTGTAAGTTCGAACTTAGTTTCAGGAAAAATCTCAGACAAACACAGAAATTATATGGCTTAGAATGGATAAAACGAACTCCAAACTAACTGTTCATTTGGAGTTATAATGATGATAATGGTAATCATGTAAGCACGAACATCTTTCCTTTATATACATTTTCCCATCCATTCAGTAAAAACTAATTAAATGTGATTGATCAGTGGTAAACTTAGATTTGATATTTCATTATAAATGATAGCCGGATGTCAGCTAAATTAAAATATCCATAAATAAATTACATAAATAAAAGAATGTGTATTAAAAATTTATTTTTGTAAATAAATTCCAATTTCTAGATTAAAGCATGATTTTTAAAATCTATATTTCAGAATGGTGCTTCGTAGAGATTGTAGTAATTTAATAGTTGAATTCCTGAGTTGTAGATGTGCATTACTGAAGAGTCCCATACTATGACAAAACGGCCGTCCAGTGCTTCCAGGTTTTCTATGGTGGTCTAGCTGTAATCGACTAATGAATTCATCTGTATTTCATTCAAATACAAAAGCATCTCAGTGTCATAATTCGCCGTCATGTGAATATAATTCAGAGGAACTTTTGTTTGTATAAACAGAAAATAATGAAGTATAAATAATTAAAATGTAACACTAGATGCAGTGACCAGAATATAGCAACTAAAATCTAATTCTTATTTCTTTTTACTGGACTTTAAAAATAAAAATTTTTATTAGACAAGAGAATATTTTCATTCCAATAGTTGTTAAAATGAAAATAAGTGAAAAAAATCTTTGTTACACATTAATGTTTTATTTATATAACATGGAGGATTTCTTTTACCGCTGCATTTTGAATAAAAACTTACAAAATACTTATATTGAATATGTTATATTCAAAGTTAAAACATGAAAAATTTAGTATATGGACATATACTTTGTCGATCTACAAAAAGTAACTAATTTGAAGGTAGGTGATCGGTGCAGTATGTGGTTAATTTTAAATGAGTAGATTGTATTGGAAAAATTACAAAATGAAAATAATAACACCACAGGATAGAAAATCAATCAGAATATTGAAACTATTTTATACTATCATCAACCCTGATATTTGATGTTGCATATTCTTGAAGTATGTTGTTAAAAAATCTCCTCAGTTTCAACAACATAATGGTTTATAATATTTTAAATGTGTAATTTGAAAGCAAAAACAACATGCCTTAGACTTGAAATCTTGGCAAATCATAGGACAATGTATAAAACTGTGATACGACGTTTTTTTAAAAATAAATCGACAGAATTACTCGTGGAGCTAAAGTTTCAATTAATCGCAATAGATACACTTAATATTATGAAAGTAACTATCAATTAAGCGAGAAAAAATAGGCAGTGAAATTTATTTTTCCAGAGAATTATTTGTAATTATTCCATAAATGATACATTCATTTGAAATGAGAAAGTCTATAACTTACACAGCTTCGATTCTCTGGGAGTGGTAGATTGTTGAATGTCTCTTCTACATTTGCACTCAAATAACTAGGTAGATTATTAGTAGTAGTCGCAGAAGCATTGGCGTGGATTTGTTGACGTTGTTGGTCTTTTTCGTGGATTATTTTGCCACCACGTCGACTAGTTTTTTCAACAACTAATGCAGTAGACATTCCTTGACTTTCTCTACCTAGACCTTGTCCTTCACGATATCCCATTCGAGCCATCATTTTCGCTGCAACAACATTACTATTGAAAATAGAAAGTCCAGTAAGCATAAATAAACATGTCCATAGTTGTCATTTATTAATGTAGAACACAAACATTGAGAAATTACACTGATTAGACACAATGGAAATTAAACAACAACGTAAATCTAATGATTATTAAGTGCCAGTTAGTTGCACTTTCATTACATTAGTTAGTTTAACCTGATATCTCAATCAAAAATTACAACATACTTGTTACTGATTATGTGGGCTTAAGTTATAACTTGTAACATTTCAATTCGTTAATTTGTGGGATTATTTAATACAGTAACGAGTGATAATTCACTAAATGCTAAAACAATCCAACTAACTATATACTGTATTATAAGACGTCAAATATCAACACAAGAACCCAATTGAAATTTAGTCAACTGTCCAGTCAGTAACAATAGAGAACCTGTACGTATGTACATCGGTTCAAGTTGCCAGGCCCCATCAACACACCGAGATGAAATTGTCAGGCCAAATCCTAGCATATTACAGGTAGTAACAGTATTTAAGGGAATAGAAAAGAGTAGGCATTGATGATACTGTTTGAAAAGATGTAAACTAGCGGAGTGAAAACGAAAAAAAGATTCTGAGAAATTCAGAATCTCGGGATTTAGTGGGAGACATAGAAAAGATGCACCTGTGCCACTGCAAAAGATTTTGAGCGAAGCCATTCAAAGTCACTACTTACTGGTTACGATGTGAGAGAATCTGATTGAATAAAAATAGTCAAATAAGTGTTTTCTATTTACTTACTTACACCTGTCACTTCTCATGGAGGAGCATAGGCCGCTTACCAGCATTCTCTATCCAACTCCGTTCTGGAAACCCCTTTCCAGTTTTTATTCATCCATTTCATGTCTGCTTCCGGTTCTTTACGCGGTGTGTTCTTTGACCTTCTTCCTTTTCGTTTACCTTCAGGATTCTAAGTTAGAGCTTGTTTCATGATACAGTTTGATGATTTTCTCTATGCATGTCCTACTCACCCCCAACGTCTTTTCTTAATTTTCTCCTCAGCTCGAACTTCGTTTGTTTCCTCGCAAAGTAGGCTGTTGCCGATGCTATCCAGTCACCGGATATTGAGTATCTTACGTAGACAATTATTCATAAATACTTGCACCTTTTTGATGATAGTTATGGTAGTTCTACAAGTTTCAGCTCCATACAGTAGAACTGTCTTGACGTTCGCATTGAAGATTCTCACTTTGAAGTTAGTTGACAGTTGTTTTGAGTCCCATACGTTCTTCAACTGTAAGGAATGCTGCCCTTGCTTTTCCAATCCTTACCTTTATATCTGCATGAGATCCTCCAAGTTCATCGATGATACCACCCAGGAACGTGACACTTTCAACATTTTCCAGAGTTTCGCCATCAAGTGTAATAGGGTTGGTGTTCTCTGTGTTGTATTTGAGGATCTCACTTTTTTCCTTGTGTATGTTGAGGCCTACTGATGCGGAGGCTACTGCTACACTGACTGTTTTGACCTGCATTTGTTGTTGTGCATGGGACAGAAGAGAAGTCCAAATTATCCGAGCTGTCCATTGTATTCCGTGTTTCAAGTCAGATGTGGAGATCTCTATAATCCAGCCAACCGACAGAAGAAAAAGGGTGAGAGTAAGCAGCCTTGGCTGACTCCGTCCCTCAAATGCCCTGGTACGGCCGAGAGGTGAGGGTCACCTCTATCATCAAAATACTATCACATGGCTACGTGCATACAGTCACCGCCAGGGAGATCCTAATCACTATCACTGAGTGGGTATTGTTTACGAAATTAGGAGGACGGTAAGCGAATGTCCGGCGCCTTAACCGGGTTGATGGACGTGGAGGGTCTACCTGGGAGAAGTGGAAAACCCTGATTCCAAACCAATGATGCACAGGAACTCCAGGATCCTGACGAAACAAATGGTGTATGGGACTGCATCTCCTCCTTACGTTGCTTCACTGCCTTGTGGATTAGACCTTTAGGTTAAAGGCTCGGAGTATGTCCCTCTAAGGAAACTACCTGCTTCGGCTAGAGCACCTGAGCAGTATCCCAGCCCTGAGACAAAATGATTTAGTGCCCTTTGTATCAATAATTATGTTGAAATAAATTAATAAATATTCATTCTTTATGATGTTGCTTCCGTCAACGCAAAACCTTTGGACACGTTGAATTCCAAATAGCAGCTTAATTTACTAGTATGTATACAAATACACAGTAAATTAGCTGGTGAATCTATTTTTTAAATTTTTTTTGCTCGCGATTTGAAAACTAATAATGTGAGCGAATTGTCAGTCCAGCTACTAAATAAATACCTCATTGTCAGAGGATATTTAAGAAACTAAGATTCACAAATTTATTGGTGAACAACGTCTACTGCCAAACGTTATTACTTTAAGCTTGAAAATAAAACAAAAGGCTAAAAAGCTTTATTTTAATTTACAACATTGTTTGAATAAGAATTAAGAGGTTCAAAAGAAGTTCAAAAATGTTGAAATATTCAAAAAATTCAATAGATAAAAGCGGTTGATCAGTTTTGATTTAAGATTTTCTTGAGATCTACCTATCGATGATTTATGATCTTACTAAGTTACATCTAAATATTAACAATTATGCATAATGTATGATTAATGTACCGAATAAAACTTAGTTACGAAAGTATTTCGTTTGAGATATATTTTAAGCATAATTATTTATTTGAACACATTTCTAAACACTATATATATATATATATATATATATATATATATATATATATATATATATATATATATATATAATCTTTTCAAAGTATTCCAAAGGTTAAAATTATCATAATATTTGCTAAATATGATCCGATATAATGTAATCTTTAAAAAAAAAGATCTATCAAAAAAACATGACATGCCACTTTCTATTCTATTCAGTAAACAAAAATCCCAGTACAAATTCGATTAGATAAAACAAAGAAATGATAGATCAGAATAAAAATCATTATTCTACATGAAATTATTCGCAATTATTATTTCTGGTAATCAAAATAATACTTGAATAATTTTCTTATATGAGAAAAGCTACTGTCAACAAAGTCAGTCAGCTACAGGAACAGGCACATATATACATCGGTCTAAGTTGCCATACCTCATTAGAGCAACAAGATCAACAGTAAATTCATAGAAGTAGTTAATTTAGTGGTGGTAATATATAAAAGAAAGGTTGTATATAAGGATATAGTATAGGAAAGAAGACAGATACGAAGCAATTTTAATCTCATGGTTTAAGGGAAGATAAAGAGTGTATACACATGCGCCAACTGTCAACAAAAGTACACAAAATACAAGCTCTATAGCTTATGAATAATAAGGAATGATCAATTGATATTGGATAGATATTATTACATATTATCGACAATATATTTGTGGTAGTAAATGTTATAGGAGTAATTATAGTAAAAATAAATTTGATAATTATTCGAATGAAATTAGAAGTAGACACTCTAGTACTTTTCTGTTAAGAATATTTGATTCATATAACTATCACTTTTAAATAAATAGAAACCAAGTTGATTAGATATTTTTCCTTTTCTTTTAGCAATTAAGTCGAGAAATAGCAAACAGTCGCCTGTTATTAATCCGAAACGGTCAATAATGTCATTAAACAGATAAATAAGTGTTCCCAAAGAATGTATGCGAGAATCAATCAATTGGAAACACTAAACAGATAGTTTCCTTCATAGAATCATAGAGTAAGAACAACAAACATTTTGGGATGAAGTAAATTCATTTCATATAGTATGTTTTAAATCTTCCATCAAAGTACTTGCATTTCCTAATAAACGCTTCAATGAGTGAAAACGATAATCATCATCACTAATATTATGACCACTTTACTGTTGCTTTTTGGAAATTACTATTACATATATCATTCTATTTGTTACAACTATAACAACTTGTATGTGTCTTGCGCTTGATTACACTACGGTCTTTCTCTAAATTATTCTGTTCATTTAAAAATTGAACGTGTATGAATGTGGAAAGTGACTTTAGTGGGGCTTCGGTCACGGAGCTAGATAATTTGATCGTGGAGCTTTCATTGCTCTTCTGAACAACATCATCAGCACAAACTCCAGATAGAAGTGAAGTATTCGAATTTCTTCACTGATGAATAACAGCTTGTCCTGTCGATCTCGATCTTGATTGGTTAGTGTAGACATAGCCTGTCATTTTCTGCACCTTTATTTTGATTATTTCACCCTTTGATCTGATTCTCGGTCCTATATTTGTCAATGATTATTTTAGTTGCTTGACAAGTTAGATCGATTTCAATGTGCTTGTAGATTGCTGATTAACTTGATTGTCTAGCTTCTACAAAACCTCTGACGTTCTTAGTATGCCGTCTATCAATTATTTCGAAATTTCCTCTCGATCTTCGCCTGAACGAACATCAAATAGAGGTCAAACACCATAACATATCTTTGCTTATATCAATGCATATGGACAACTGATGGAAGACGTGCAAATAAAGTATTTAATATATGGTTTTCATAATTTACGAAGACACCATAATTTTACACTAAACCATAAACTGGTCTTCCTCACTTGAGTGTTTGTTCATTACAACAGGACCAAGAACATTTTTACCTGATTTTGTTCAGAAAAACAATGAAAGCTCCAAGACGTAACACCAAGCCTAGTGGACGAAACTCCACTAAAATTATCCACCTGAGCAACAAATGTTCTCCACCATCTTAAAGTGATTTTAAATATTTTGTATTAGTGAACTAAATGAATTTGTGCATGTTACATATAAAATCACATTTATAAAACATTTTATTAATTTCTGCAAATCAGTTGCTGCGTAGACGATTTAAAGCACATGAAATAAACTCAACTGATCTGACAGTGTCTGTTGTTTTCGCTTTACAACAGGAAACCGTAACATAGTGTAATAAGTTTTAAGCAGTAAAATAAACATATGATTTACAAACAATAAAGTATCGCAGTAAAATATGTGTAAAATCAAGTAACACTAACATAAAATAGTATGAGTTGTACAAGATATACACAGGATAAATTAACGAAAACTTACATTCCAAATTTACTACTAGCTGTGCTAACTCCAGGGTCATCATCATTAACCAACGATTCAGAGTTTTGTGATGCATTTGAACCAGAAGTAACAGTTACATCTTCGAGTAAAACAGATGGAGGTGCAATAGCAGCACCCTTTGTTGGTTGTGAAGAATTCCTACCGGAAGCTGCAGTATATTCATTATCTTCATCGTCTTCTTCATCTGAATACTCATAACGACGACACATCCCCGAAGGATCATTCATACCAAATGGATCCAGTCGATGGTGTCTGTCTGCAAGCGCTGATTCCTAAAAAAGGCATATATATGAAAAAAATTTAAGTATTAAACACTGGACGAATAGTTTTAATAACAAAATCCTGAAACTATATATATATATATATATAATTACATCCTGGAAATCACAGCGTACATGCCTATTTAAAGGCATGGTCAGAATGATATAGAAAATGTCACACGTAAAGGACGAAATATATAGGAGTAAAGTTGGTTGGAAACATACGATTCATAAATTGTTTTGAAAAAAGACATTTGTTACAGAGATCATAATAATGTCAGACAGTAACCGAGACTCGAACATCTTGTAAAAGTATGGATATTGCACCAAAATTCCAAATATATAGCCAAGCAATCCAGTCATTATGAAGTCTGATGGCTATGTATTTATGCAATCATCTTTTTATTAATGGATCTATTCAAATTAACCCCCAATCAACGATCGAAACTGAATAATCAGGTGGTGAATCACGAAATTAGTGTACTATAGTTTTACGAAATAACAGTGAGTATTTTAATGTTTTGCCTTACTACTGTTTACCTATTTATGAAAAATCTGTGAAAAATGTATGGAGAAATAGTTAATTTTAATGATGCTTGTAAATTCATTATTATTCTGGGTGAAAAAAAGAATAAAAATACCAATAGAATGCCACCTAACCATTTGCATAGAAGTCATGTTAATTAGTGGACTTAATTTTATAGATCACTTAAGTATACTGAACATAACCTATAAATTGAGAAAGAGTTAGATGTCCAAAACGTTCGTAAAAAGTGACAAGTCAAAAGGTGAATCATTACTTAAATATTTCTCCTTAGGAAAAATATGGTTTTTGTTTTCAATATTTTACTAAACATCATTTTTATGGTGCGACCGTAGAGACTGAATCATATACTTATGACGTGATATTTTAGAAAAGTCACTATATTTCTTATCCCAAACTAATATGAACAACCTATTGTTTATAAAGATGGAATATTTAAGAAAGATATTTGAATATTTACACAAAAGTGACGTAAAGATGGAAAGTTTCTTCGCGAAATTACCATTTACTGGAGCTGCGTAATCCTAGTATGAGTGATTTACGAAATAAACTAGTCTGTTTGTCTTACTATTTTTCTCTAATCCTTAAAATATTATATAAAGTTTTGGTGAGGCTTTTCAAACAATTTATGGTATAACCTTTTTTTCAACACTCTTAAAATCACTAGGATCACTATTATACAGGTTTAGTAAGCAATATCATAGAAAATTTGAAAAAAAAAACCTTGTCAAATTGTTTTGAGGTATTCTTCAGTGGGACAACTGGAATTTCTCCACCTTAAAGTAGATTATGATAAAAAAAGTAAATCCTTCGAAATTTGGATAACATAAACAATTAGACTTGGGATATTTAATTACCTCAGCACGTCTACGTTCACGTTTGATTCGAGCTAATTCTTCATACTCGTTAGGAATCATGGGATTATATTCATCCATCACACCCAAAGGTAGATTTGGTTCACCAAATAGTAAACCATTCGTCATAGCTGTATTGGAATATTTCAACGAACGTTTAGATTTACCTCCACTGCTTCCCGAAACACATCGCTCTAATCGTCCAGTCAATTGATTAAATCTAAATGTTCATCAATATTTAGTTAAAATGAATATACAACATTAATTGTACATAGGGAGACATGAAAAGGGATATTAGTGAGGATGACTATCACGAGCAATCACAAAACCACTGTTAATTTATAACAAAAAGCAATCATTTTTTTGTAAAGTTAGAAAATGTTGACAGCAAACAAAAACACTAGAAAATTATTTACTTTCCTTAATGGTTTACTACAGTGACCTTAAAATATATGGGTTTGAGTATTATTTTTGTACTGATGCTACCTGAACAGATTAGTATCAGTAAGTGCTCTTTATCTGACATAATTTGGCATTCGAAATGCATGATTTATCAATCACTTATGATAACTTATAAATCTAATCTATACTATTTGTTAGATATGACGAAGAGTATCACGGTGAAGTTTGTTTACATAATGACAGCAGTAGCAAAAAAATGTTTCAGTTTCTGCTTACAGTATTTTATTCACTCAGTTTTTCACACAAATTGTTAAGTTGGTTAGTATTCAAAAAATTGTAATAAATAAATAAAATATGAAAAGACACACTCTATTATCATTTAAGGAGGCAAATGTTTGATTTGATTTCAAAGGCAATTTTCAATGTACAAGTAAATTCCTACTTATTTATGTAGAGAGTAATTTTTGGATTTCATTAACTTATTTACATTAATTGAAGAATCATGATAATTATATAGTGATTCACTCGAAAAAAAAAACATTTTAATATTCTTTCAAAGAACAACGGTTGAAGCTAATTAGCTAAATGTTGTTAGGGGTGATTTCGGAAAAAAAATACACGTGAAAAAGGTTTCTATGTTAATGAATCAACTAAAGATATGTGAATAAGTGAACAGGTTAATTAAAAAGTTATTTATATGTATGTTCGTATCCTTCTTTCATAAGGTTATCAAAATAAAAATGCAGAACTACATAACAGTTACTTTACAGACTCCAATCGACTAGAAAAAACGTGAAGTTTTACATCTCTCAGTGCATATTAATTACCATATTCATGTTTACTATAACTTATCATGACATGCGAATCTGTTTATTACTAATAGTACATATATATACTAATAACAAATTTATGAATATAGGACACATTCTTAATTTAGTATTATACAATTGTAAGGACATTAAACAAATGGATACATTGTCAAGTATTGATGAGTAATTTAACAATTATTTGAAATTCCCACAAAACATAAAATAGTTGTCCCGATAACAATAGTGAATGGTAACTTTGGCATCTATTTATGGACCAGTATTATGTATATATTTATTATCGTATAATTGCAAAATAGCTAAACTATTCATATTCATGTTCCCCGTATCATGAGCTTTATTTTGAAGTATCAACTATTGTTATACGATTTACCACTAGTGAGTTATCCCTAGTCTATAGGGTACTGTCTCCCACATTCACAGCCACATTTGGCTAAATCTTGTACAAATGTTATTTTCTATTTTATTGGTTTGATGTGGTCAGTCTGTTTCGTATATAAACTCAGTATGTTTAAAATACAAGGATTCATACCACAGAGGCTGATACTGGTGTTTTGGACTTAACTGGCTGGGCCAGGCAGAAGCAGGACTGGTAAGCACTCTAGACTGCTCGTACGGTTTTCATGTATCACTGTTCCAATCGATAATTCGCTGCTCTCTGATTGGCGGTCTTAGCACGTCACACATTAACTAGGCATCCACTCGGCCACAAGATATAACAAATATGAAGAGGATTTTTAGTAGTACAGTTGGTACATGAAAAAGAATCACTGACAATTAACCACCTAAGATATGAAAACTTGATTCTCAAGAGTAAGACTAATGATATTTAATTAGTTAAATCAGCATTATAAATGGAATGGTTAAGAAATAACACTCATGATACCCATCTAACAATATGAAAGCATTTAAAATGGAAACAACGTTGAACGAGAAATAAAGAGAATAACTGAAAGTATTAAAATGAGAAGAGAAACATGGATATACAAGTGGATAAAATATATTTCCTACTAGAGTCTTAACAAGAATCATATGTATATATACATATGCATAGAAAGAGCTCCAAGTGACATTCGATCACACAAATAGAAAAAATCTATTATTAACGTTACTTAGCAGTGTAATATACTCGACGTTGATAATGTCTAAGTTTTTTTCGTTGAAATGAGCGAAAATAAACACATAGACAAATATATCATATTTCACATAAAATTGAATAATGGTATCCACTTCAAGTAAAAAAAAATCACAGTCCCTAAGTGACAGAATTGTTGAGTTTTAGAATTGTAACAAGTTACGATGAAACAGTCATATTCTCATTTAATTATGAAACAGAAAACATTAGTATTACTTCTATTCGCGAGATCCCAGAATTAAATAAGCATCAGCTGGGTAATTTTAAAAAGTAATAATCAGTTGTGAAAGGTGGTAGGTAACCAGAAAAACAGGTAGATATACAACATCAGAAAATAGCGTAAAAATACTTTACCCAACCCAGAGAAGCCTGGGAAATACACTGACAATAATTCCAGACTATTAGTCTTTTAATAGGTAGATAATTCATCAAATATGGGTATTTCAACTTCCCTTAAAAGTGACTTGACTATTTGTCTTATTTTGAGGGGGAAGTATTGAAAAACCAATTGTTATCCAACAGACTATCAATAACAAATTGAATGACAGAGAACTAGTGTTTTTAGCGATGTTCCTGTAGCCTTGGTATATTCACATTACCATTTATCGAACAGTTGTGCAAATATCAACGTGTTTTACTTTCCAGCGGTTATAGTTAATACTAGATGTTCCTAGGTGGGACATTTTTATATGTTGAAAATATCAGGAGGTCAAATTCTCCATGTTCAGCGATACTTATAGTCACAGAGTTCAAATGTGGTTATCCTTTATTTGTTTACTGACATTTTACCATACAACTGTTCAGATTAGCTACTAATGAAAATACAAATATTAGTTATGTACAATAATTAACAGTATAAGTAGTGTTTTACGGGGTTTAAATTAAATCTACTCACGATTTAACTTTTGGATTAACTTAGGGTTAAATAAGTGCATGGAGATTGTTACAAAGAAATTTTCGAAGTCGGAAATAGCAAACGCGTCATTGTTATTGCTGTTTTTATTAATTAAAATGAATAACATGAGTGACATTTAAATTTCCTCCTCCTTGCCCTCTAAAAGAAGTCCACTATAAGTACCTATTTACACAGTACAAATTCTTTGAATTACAAGCAACTGTAACATACTTCTGAAACATATAATGTAAATAGTAGATAATTGATAACATCCATTACGTGAAACCGAAAAAATACAACAAATTGTTTACGAATGGATGGGAAACAAATAATATGAGGATAAAGTATGAAGTGAAGTCAGTAATAGTAATAATAAAATGTTTGCTAGATTATTCCTCATTTCGAGTTACAGAGAAAACTGTTTATGTATGGAAAAATAAACAAATAATTTATTATCCCAATTTCCATTACTTTGAAGTTTTTTTCTTACTTGTTTCGGTGGTGTCTTAACATTTCAGTGTAAAATATTTTTTATTGTCTAGAACACTAGACAGAAACAGGTTCACTTTTGATGAAATTAAGTAATAAACAGCTAGAGAATAGTGAAATCTCACCAACAAACTATTTCATACAAACTCGATTGTAAAATTTCCGTGAGTTTAATGGTATTAATAAACAAAATTTGGTACATGCTACACTATTCAAACAAGTCAGCCAGCTACAACGTAGGACCAGGCACATACATGCATCGGTCCAAGTTGCCATACATCGTTGGCACAAAAAGACGAACACCGAATTCATAGAAGTAGTTAATTTAGTAGTGTATGGATTTACTGGTCAGCTAGATATATTACTAAATTAACTAGGTATTTTGTAACAATTCCGGTAAGCTAACATAAAATTGATTATGTATAAATAAATCAGGCTGATGACAATGTCCAGGGCCCAAAATACTTTTCAACTGGCAAATCACAATGAATCGGTTAAGATTCAAAAGCAATTTAATGTACAGAGCACATATCACTTACCGTCTAAACATCATAGGGTGAGACAAAATAGTGGAATATAATGGAAACATTTAATTGAAAATGAAGTGGTCTTACAGTGATTATTTAAATCAGTAAAACGTACTCATCTCAAAGTCACGGATATACACTTTTACGTAATGGGATGAACCAGCTGTTCAGAGTTTCTAGGTTTCCAATGGCACCACAATAGGAATCAGTCAGTGACCAATACCTTGTACAGATTTGCTTCAAGAACTTATACGATATGTTTATATTTCTAAAGTTAAACCCCATGATAAATAATGAATAGTTTCTAAGATAAAATAAAATGAAGTGTCAATAAGTTACGCTTATCGTTTGGTAGAAGACAGATGCACGATCTGACTTGTTGAACCAAGAATGTAAAGTAGGTTTAGCCATATGAGTTGATATGTTTTTGAAGTTGAATGCATAGTTCGTATAGTTAATGTTTTATAATATCAAAGAAATAGAATCATTAATTTTAAAAAATGTAAGCACCTTTTAATCATAAGTAATAACAGGTATTTCTTATCTACATAAATCAGTCATAATCAATGAACATATATAACCATGTACATTAAATATTTATTATATAAACGTAATATAATATCAGCAAACCTGCTTACATGTTATATATAGGGCTAAAGTGAAATTTCAGTTTAATGATAAAAAATGATATAGTATAGTGATTCATGGAGAAATCAGCACGGGAAGTGACTGATGTAGATGGGTTTCATGTGATTTAAAGTGACCATAACATGCTATGGTTTATCAATAAAAATACATATGTTGGATTGCTGAAATTATGATAAAAACACCCTGTTTCCAACAGGGTTTCGAACTCTACAACATCAAAATTGGTTTGGGCACATATGTAGAATCATTAGTCAATACAAGCGTTGTTGATTAAAGCCAATAAACATTTCCTCGGTAAAGAGACCAATAGGGACCAAACCAACAGTTAGTGACTATAGACTAATTTCAAATTATGTTTGGTCACCCATATATTTCTTTTAAAATATATTGGAGCTATCTGTAATTACTCAAAGAGGAAGGCAGAGTGTGATAATACAAAAAACATCTCCCAGCCATTTAGTAGACGAAGATTTAAAGAGTCACCAACTGTTCTGCCATTTTTATAAGTACCTTACACCTAACTTCAGCATTTCTCATTTGGCTGTTCCGCCATAAACGAGCAATGTTTCACTAGTACGCTGATATTTTACTTTGCTGTAACTAACTATATGAACACTGATGCCGGACAGAGCTTAATAGTGCCATTTTAGATTATATTTACTAAGAGGGCTCAAGATAATTAAATAAGTTCGACTACACAGCATTTAATAATTTAGCATGCTTTTACACTCCAATCAAGTTCACATATCACTCTGAAATATACCGATGTCATGAAATATAGGTAAAAATGTACCTGACATAGAGACACTAAGATATAATTGAAATATACAAGTCAAATGGAGAGAAATCAAAAATTTTACATATTTAATCTCATTGTTATTATGTAGAACTTTCAAAAAAAAAACATTATTATAACAAATGACTTATGGTTAAATGTTTCATCGATTGAGAGTATAGACAACAGGTAAATATCGTGATTATCAAAATTCCAATAAGTAAGTTTGAAAGGTTTAAAACAAATAAATTGGTTTTTTATCATTCACCACTATTGATAAACAATTGTAGAAATTGTATTTTTTAGAATGTATACATTACATGTACAACTGATGACAGATTAAGCAAAAAGATGTTTTTCAAATTAGACGACATGGAAACTTTTTTATGACTGTGTACTGAGACCAATAGTTTAATTAATAAAGATTTTTCACTGACACAATTACAACTTTCTCAGGATGAATTCAGCATATTATAATTTAAAAGAACATTCACAAAAACCAGTTAGGTAATCGCTTAACAGATTTGTTATGAGATTTACTGTTACACGAAGGTGATTGAAGTGTGATGGATTTATCCTCAAGAAATTTGTAGATGTGCTTAGTGAGAACATACTGTTATTTGAAAATGTTCAGATAAACTTCTTCGGCAAATTCACGAGGAATTTTACCACGATGCATGAGATTACTCGATGTCGAATGTAATCAATTTTATTCCAGGAACAACTTTATATAAAGATGTGAACAGAATATTTTCTTTTGATAATAGTGATGGAAATTTAGATGACATTACTGATTCTCGACTTACTTTCAAAAGTTATGGTGCCTCATAAAAACAAATGACTTGTATGTGTACTTAATACATATTTACAAGTTTACTCTAGTAACTAAACCTTCTGGAGCAAGTACTTAAACGCTTCTGTTTACTTTAATTCTAGAAAATTTCAAAGTATGTTTGATACGACTACGATTTCCTTATGAATAAGACGTATGGATTCTGTATATAGTTTTTCTGAATTTTTTCAGTGATTTTATAGTAGGTTGCATTTTTCTGATAGATTTTTTCAAGTTTTCATCCTATAATTAAAATAGCAAAATTTTAATTCAGCAGCCTCTTCCACTGATGACATTTCTAGAAAACAGATAAACAGTGTTCATTAACAATTATGCGGAACTGTTTGAATATGTTAACCAGTATACAATTACAATTAAATACTCTATATTTTATAAATTCGATGTAAAAACCAATTATCATTACAACAGTAAAGTAACAGAAAGTTCAAACTGACAAAACCAAACAGATAAATATACTTCTTTAATCTACTTGAGAAATAGGACAACAGTAACCATATTCAAAAATATTCTTAACCAAGAGGGCATTAATGTTAGTATCGAAAGAAACTATTCTTCAACATAAACAAACATCCTTAAAAAGACAAACGCAAAACTCATACGCCCAAGTATGTCAAAGTATAAAGTTGAATTTTTGTAATAATAGTACTAGGAAACCGGATGGGATAATCTTATATAGATTTTTAAATAATTCTTCTCCTTTCAAAAACTGTAACAAACAAGCAGACTGTAAGAAAGAACGTTTTGCTCAATAATATCTGTTTAGATACATTCAGAAAGTATTTCAACAAACGTTCATCCTTTAACAGCGTTTTCTAAAAATATAGCATACAAAACATGCAAAATATGCATACGGCCGGACTAATATCATTACCTGTAAGAGCCATCTACGTGTGGTATACGCTGTTTCAAATCGACCACTGGGGCTAGTGTTGTGCGAGAACTCCACTGAGCATTGGAAGAATCTGTGGCTGGGCGTCGACCCTGAGCACGTTTCACAGCCATGTGGGATTGCATTAATTTTAAACTAGAAAATTAAATAAAACTGATTAAATACAGACAAAATTAACTCATGAATATGTATTTCAGCAAAAGTCCAATTAAATTGAAGAACTGTACAAAAACGTATAGATTAAGTTTACTAACTCGGACTTAATATGCTTAGGAAAACCAATGAAAAGGAAGAAAACCCAAGATTACAACATAGTTTAAAGAAAAAGAAAGAGAATAGACAGACTGTTTTATAACTTTCAAATTACATCAAAGAGGCAGGGAAGTGAAAACAGGATTGCAAGAAAATGATTAGAAAAGTGATCAGTTCAAGTTTTAGCCCATAACAAAATCACACAGATAAGAATCATTAGAATGTTCCGGAAAGAAAAGTAAATAAGTATAGATTATCTCCAAGATTTGGCATCATTCTAACTATGGACTTCAACTAGTGATTTCTTACATTCCGAGGACAGTAAACAGTTCGCAGCACCATTCCAACAGTACACAAAAACACTATACACTGACGTTAACAATTAATTGTCCTTTACTTCGTTTTTAACTGGACGTGAATGTTTGAACAAAATATTCACCCTTCGGCAGGTTCTGAAAAATCGATATACTTTTAGACGTCCGACTATAGTTGTGTTCCTTGACCTTGAGGAAGAGTTCGACTCCTTTGATAGCAAGGTTCTATGGAAGTGTCAGTAATTGAGAGGAGTACCAAAGTACACCAACCTTGTACAGGCTCTCTACTTGGACACTTTTCATTGAGTCAGAGTTTATCGCGAACTGTCATCAAAATTGGTTACTTTCCAGGGGTTGATCTACCTGGAGACCCACTTGTTTACTTAGAATACGCGGATGATATGGTTCTGTTTGATGGAGACACTGACAAAATACAGTCTTTTGACCGCCTTAAGCAACAATGTAAGCATGTCTGGGATGAGGTTCTCTCCCCCCAAATGTAAAATGCTACTTCAGGATTGGCTTGCGTCAGCGTTTGAATTAATGGTAGGGAGTGAAGTGCTTGAACGCATAGACCGCTTTAATTATCTTGGGAGTCTCATCACTACTATTCTGGGATTCGGCCAGTCAGTTTCATCTTTCTTTGCTAAAGGGGCATGCCAAATCAAACCGATGTGCATACGTACCAGGTTCTACTCTGTGACTGAATGATATTATTAACAATACTGCTATATCAGTGGGATATTTTTTCAACATCCGATGGGAGTATTATGGAAGGATTTCTCCAAGACAAAGAAAAATGGGGAATTATGATGAAAGTAATAACCAAAATAAAATTTATTTACATTTATTTGACACACTTCAACTTTACGCGTACATACACATAAAATGGGGACCAAAAACAGAAAGTAAAAACCATTCATTGTTTACATTAGCCACGATAATCAATCATTACAATCTCTTGCAGTAAACACATATATAAAATTATAATGCAGATGAGTAAAAAGTATGATAACTATGAATGTACTACTGAAAAAGTAAATCATGTTACCTACCGCTATATTCTAGTGATTATTAACTATACTATGCATGTCAATATACCTACATATTAATTGTTTTAGGATGAATATATTTGTATAATGGTAATACAATGTATAAATTTTCCCATTAGTATTGTTTAGTATGAAATTAAATTGTAAGTAGATGTAAATACAGGCAAAGAAGGGATGAAGAATAAAATAGCAAACCAATATTATTCTTAGTCAATTATCTCACCAACTGAAAGAGTAAACTAATTTAAAGCCAATGAATAAATGATAACTTACCTGGAATTTGAATTGACTGAAGAAGGATTCATATTGAATTGATTAGATGATACATCAGATTCCGACCAGTTAGCAGTGACACGCAAACCAACCAATGGAGCATTTCCTGACTTATTAGACGACTCGCTTGATGTTAAATTATCGAGAGGTGTTCCGTCTAAAATATCCAAGTCATCATATAAACTTGACGTCATTATTTTAAACTGAAGCTTCGATCCTATGAAGTCAGCAAAACAATTGAAAAAGAACAATAATTCATTAGGTAAAAAAGTAACACAATCTACAAGCATTTATTTATACAAGAAAGAATTTTACGAATCACACTTTAATCAACTGAATTTATTAAGATTATTATTTGAGATCTATACAGACAGTACGGTTTATAAGTTTGGATTACTATAACCTAGAAGCTCGATTACAATAACAGTTGTAACATCCTTGAACAACCTTCCATACTATCTAAAATTTACGAAATAATTTAATAAATAAAATTCATCTAACTTAATCTAGACTGAAAAAAGTTCGCAAATTTATAAACTTAGAAGAACCCTCAAGTAATATAGAACTCTAACCAACTGCATTTGTTTAAAGAAATTAATATAGTTGTACAGGATCTTTATATTTAGTATCAGGGATGCAAACTAGAAAAAAGTCATTAAGAAAAAATTCTGACTTATTAATTTTATAGACCAGATTCTTTCAGATTAGCTATTTGTAACTGAAAAAGAAAATAATGGTAGTATATGTGAGCAACTACAACCATGCTTGAGTCAATGTAAAGCCTTTTTGAGGTGAAAACTGAAAAAAAAATTAGATATTTGAATGTAATGAACACTAGAAAGTGGAGTATAGATACGAAGCCTAAATTATTTGGAAATACACACATAAAGTATGACATTAAACGGTACTTTTTTCTGGAGTGAAACAACAAAAATCCAGCCTGTTTCCAGCACAACTATTGTAACAAATCAGAAAACAAAATTTGAATTCGAATTAAATTTTTAAAAAATAGATCGGGAATAGTAATGATCTCGAACACTTATAGTTAAGAAGTATAGGGATTACATAGTTAGTGATTTAAGTGAAAACAACAAATTATTTCCGACTTCAACTTTAAAATGAAGCTGATTTTTATGACAAAAAAGATAGGTATGCAGAAATGTCAACTGGGGCAAATGATAACCGATTCAGAACTCTTAAATGAGTTTACTGTCCAGCGGGAGGCATTGCTATAAGATGAGTGATTACATGCAAAATATACTTAAGCGCAAATACGAAGGCATAAAAAAAGCACATTAATAAACAACTGTACACTATTGTATTAGACTGATATTATTATTAACTATTAAGCAGGTGCCACAGATTTGAACATCATTTTCTCACTGCATGGGAAATTAGAGTATTTCCAAATTTGGGAAAATATACTACGACTCATTGATTAAATGTATTACAGTGAATAATTGACATCTTATTTTATGTTTGTTGAGATTCCTTTTAATATGGTTTTACTGTTACAAGTAAATTAGAGAGGACTGAACAGTACTCAATAGTTTTGTCAAACTGAATACAGTAAATCTGAATCATTTCACTCTGAGTTAATGTCTAAATGGTGTACCTTTTTTGGCAAACCTCAATTACCAATTTAATCAAGCATTTATACTCCAATTTTCTGTAAGATGGATAATTACAATATGATTAATGAGGTTAGAAAGAACAGAAAACTATACTCTCAATGTATAAAAAGCATTAACACTATAACGGACAAGTAGATGGCAGAAAGCACAATCGACATATCACTAAAGTAATATTTCAGAACAACCATTATTCACAGCACCAAACAGACGTATCAAAAAGAATACACACTGCATTAGTTCAGTTTTATTTTCTGTACAGAACAGAAAATTGTACATAAAATCGACGTAACGACGTACTACATGAAGGCGTACAAAGCACTTGTTCAATAATTAAGCATAACCAATCCAACATACTATGAACGCATATTTTTTATTGTATGATTAAGAACAAAAAGATCACAAGATATACAAACACAACAGAGTTGATTATATTTAATTCAGAGGGAATTTTCTTTCAAACAAAAGTAAAAATCAAAGGCAGCTGTAGGTCAGCAATCAACATTAGTAATAACAATTTTATGTACTGTTATTAATCGGTGAAATTGGATTCACAAATAGATGAATACATAATTGTGATTTCTTAAGACAAAAACTGTAAAAATCATGTAATATACAATCATGTTTTTTTTAATATTTTGTTTACATTGTCGAATACTGTAGAAATTTACAAAACGGTATGAAATTTTAAAACATAGTTTGAATTTTGTATTTTTTTTCTTTGCTTTGATTGAGCGCCTAGATAATAATGAGAATTCGTTGTATGGTTTATAATAATGCATTTTCTAAACGAAAGAATCCAGTAAATAAGACGGAAACTATGCGTAAAATTCTGAAGGAGAAATTAGTAACATTCAAGAGTGTTTCTTTTTTATTGCACATAAGTATATATATAGTTGTTCATTTTATAATAACGAGTAGAATATTTGATTATTTGCCAACCAATCTTTCTTTTCGAATTCATAAATCCTAAACAATATGAACACATCGCTACAATTGGAGTACATAGTAGTTACAAAACATAACTTAAAAACGTTATTTATACAATAAGTTGTGGAGATTTATAAAAGCAACAAGATAGATTCTTTCGTTGAGTGACAAGCAATTTCACAGTGGTTAAAGATATTTTAAAAGACTAACGAAAAACAACTAAGAAAACAAAAAAATGAAAGAACTTGGGTAGAACTTTTAGCATCATTTTTAGAATAAACGAATTATCAACACATTTTCTAAACTGAGATCTCAAAAGTCCCATCAGGGGAATTAGAATCATCATCCTTTTGCCATCGTCTGACCAAATGATTAGGATTCCTAGGTCCAGTTGTTTGCATTCGATTGTTTGGTGCATTCAATTTAGAAATTCGATTATGCGGAGGTAATGGTGGCGTAGGACGTGAACCAGCTTGTGTCATAACTGAAGGACAATGAGTCGAACTAAATGACTGAGGTACATGTTTTGAAGCTGATTGTTCATTTGTACGTGGACTACCTATGAAGTAACTAGATCCATCCACTTGAACCCCATGAGGATTACTGAAATAAGGTGGTTTAACCAAACGTAGATTAGAAGATGCTGTGGTGCTACCAAATTGACTAGCTGTATCAACCGGCAAGAAATATGGTACTGATTTAGAAATACCGTGAGGAGGTACAAGTGGAGGCCAAAATGGACGAGCATGAGAAATATTTGTCTGAGAGCCATGAGGAGGTAGAGGTGGAGGAAGACTATGAAGTGACTGTGGAAATAAATGATTGGCAACTTCATTATGGGGTAGTAAATGTCTCTGGTCTACTTGCATTCCGGGACACCGAGAATAAACGTGATGTGGAACTTCATGACGGCATTGTTCGGATCTCATTGATTTCACGAAACCCCTTGATATATTGCTAGTTGGTAGATTTACAGATTCAGGGGTGGAACAAGCAAGTGTAGCTGATGTGACATAATGTATACCACGACCTGTTGAAGGAGAATAAGATTTAGATGAAAACTGTGTGCCATTAAAATCCTGAGGAGTGCTGAATTGTTCAGCAGTAACAACACGTGGTTGAGAAAATGGCGTACAATATGAATTTACGGGTAAGGTGACTCGATCACGGATATTCGTCATCGAATTAGATGATGTACAAGGACACGTACTTTCATTGGGACGAGAAGAAAAATCACGTGAAGAACTTCTGGCAATTTCAGTAGTGGCACTTTGATCTTGTTGTCTGAGATGAAGTGAATTACTCGACTTACTTTGGTTTTCAATGGTAAGTTTTTGCATCTGACGTCCCCGAATTAAATCAACGTCCGAATACGCTTGAGATCCTAGAAGTGGAGTTAAATGATCACCTTTTGTGCCTAAACGATCTCTATCAGATACAGTTTTTGCGGGAACATTAGCAGCTGTTACAACAGAATTGATATTAGAATTAAAGCCAGCACTATTTTCACTTGATACATATTTTGGTGCATTTGTCCCGTATAGTAGACTTTTACCTTGATCTTTGTTACCTAAAGACTTTGACTTTGTTCCTCCTAAAGCAAGACTTGAATTTGTCTTATTTAATTCTCCAGTCCTTCCACAAACAGGAGATTGAGATCTAGACATAAGGTTTTCATTGGTGGAGGTTGCATTTGAAAACTCTTTAAGGGATAAAACTTTTGATTGTGGGTTGGGTGAAAGAGAATTGTTTAGTTCATGATGAACACTTGATATTAATTCGGATGTGTTTCGTTGATCAGAAGAGTGATTGACTATATTTTCCAAATCCACTTTTTCACAAACGACTTCTTTCTGTTTGACAATATCAACCGGGTTTTTAGGTGACTTCTACAAGGATACAAAAAAAATATTGTCACACAAAAACTAAAAACAATAAGTTTAACAATAAATTTTTCGATCATTTTTAACGCAAATGAACGTGAAAGATAATAGTTTGTGAAGGAACAAAGAGTAGCAGTAACTCATTATGAACCAACTAAATCATTTTACAGAACTTATGAATGTTGGTTTGAGCCATATTGGTAGTTGAAGGCTACCTGATTGAGGTCCGTGTGATAACTGCTCTTAATCGTTGAGTACACTAGGCAACATAGATCAGAATCGGTCATAGCGACAAACACCCATTTATTTTTTATCTTCTAGATCATGAATCCCAGAATATATTCATACATATCCTTCCATTCTTTCTTCTTAAACCTTATTCTTTATGTCCAATCTTTTTAATCATGATTGCTACTACAATTATTTTGACCACATATTTATTCATTTTATTAATTCCACCTTGCGTTAACAAGGTATTAAAAATCGAGTTAACCAAAATTTGTGCAAGTTTCTACGTTGATTATGACTGTTAGACAGAACTCATTCCAACAACATATATGTAGACTTGGTCTATATAACTTTGTAATATGAATATTCAACCAGTTGGCTAGAAAATCAAAACTTTAGTCAAACAAAATGCACAAATAATAGATGTCATATGGTGTTTATATATTACCGATTCATAGGCTTGGCCTTTAAAGTGTGTTGTGAGGTCAAACTGACTATCCAGATATAGGATATGATAACCAGTCAAACAATCGGTACTAAAATCAATCTCGTTTATAGCGTACTACACTAATCTATTAATTAGATGGGACAACAGTATTTCTCTGTGTTTACTTAATAATTCATTAATATGAAGCACATGGGTTGTACTGGTTTAATTTCATAATTAGACGGTTTTTTTAAAAACTGACAACTGAATATTCGTTAGTAGAAACGGTTACAAAACTCTGAAAGTAAAACTTTGGACTGTTATCATGAAGACAAAATCAGTACCAAGTGATTTTCACACAAGGTAATACAACTGAACAGCTGAGTTGAACTGTGTTACAACAGTTTTAGTCTTAATTACTATTCTAAACCACTTAAATCTCATCGCAAGTGAAAAGTTGCTAAAAGAACGTCATATTTTGTGACTTTTCGGGCTGATAAATATTCAATGTTAGTGTTATTAATTGACCAAAACAAGCTGACTGTGGTCGATCTGAGTCAAAAGTAGAACTCGGCAGCTTTCAAACAATCACATGAATTGACAACGGAGTGGTCAAATATCCTGTGCCATAGCAGTTGTTATGAATTTCAGCATATTTAACAGACTAATATTTGAACGAGGAATATTCTTTTCGATAAATCCTCTTCAGGTTCTACAATTATATATTCAAATTAACAACCCGAAAAATGACAAGGTTAAGGGCAAAGTACATTGCTTGAAGTTAAAGCATGTGAATTAAGGATTGTCGAAAAAAATAGAAGAAAATTGTTAACGTTGATATGACTCATATAGAATGATAATCTGAATCAGTTTATATGGTTAGTAAAAAATTAAGATCCATGATCAGAACCTGGAGTGAATTTATTAAAAATATTATTCTTCGTCCAAATATCAGTCTTTTAATGTGATGGGGATCTTTAAACAATTAGTATATTTAACAACTAAGAGAATAAGAAAGTGGATATGTTAGTGAAGTTTGTAGAACCGCATTCAGCGATTGAGATGAATTACCCATAAACATAAGTAGCGCATGATCACTAGACAATAAATAGCCGAAAATACATGCCTAAATTTGATTTTAATTACCACAAGGCGAAAAAGGATAAGGCATAAAGTAACCTACTTCAGCAATAATAGAAATCATATAAAGATACATGTGTTTGCTAAGGGAGGAAGGAATTTCGTCTATGGGTTGATGACTAGTAAATATATACATAAGATCTTTTACATGAAGCGTGAACAATCGGTTAAAAACTTACTAATACTTAGTATCAGTATACATTAAATTGTATTCATGGAGACGCCCCCAAATGCCCTGGTACGACCGAGAGTGGGGGGAGTTCGCTCTCCCTCTCGAAATGCTCACATATGGCCACGCGTATATAGCCCCTGCCAGGGAAGTCCTACTCACTGCCTTCCCGTGGCGTGGGTGTTGCTTACGAAAGTGAGAGGACGAAAAGCGAATGTCCGGTGCTTTAACCGGGTTGGTGAACATGGAAAGTTCACCTAAGGGAGTTAGAAAACCCTGATCCCAAACCAATGGTGCACATGGGCTCCAGTATTCTGAGGGAACAAATGGCGCATGAACCAATTTTTGGTCACCATCTACCATGGGAATGCATCTCCTTACGATGCTTCACTGCCTTGTGGGTTAGACCTTTAGGTCAAAGGCTCGGGGTGTGGCCCCCTAAGAAAACCACCTGCTTTGGTTTGGGTACCCGGGCAGTATCACAGCCCACACGCAAATAAATGAAATGACACATTTCTTTTGTGTGAAGCATATGTATCCGGTGTTTTTTGTAGCAATATGTATGTGATTAAATAAATAAATAATTTCATAGAGAGACTTTACAAGTAGTAAGACTAGAGGTTTTATCTAACTGGGAGTATATTTTTCGGTTTAATCTACAGATTAAAGAATCAAAACAACGTATTAGGAAAACAGATATTTACGAAATACTACGGCAGGATGAATTAACTTACAAAAGTATCAGGAAGTTTGTAATTATTGGATCCAGAGCGCAAATTTGATGTCTGACGGTGTTTGATAGGTTTGCCATTATAGGATATTTCCCACATATCAATTTCTGCTACATTTGGTCGATTCAATCTACATCAAAAATATAAAATAAACTGAGGAAACGAAACTTACATAGGTGGTTGGGAGGTACAAAAAATGTGTAGCCAGTTCTTGCAAATGCCGCTATCATAAGGGTTCATATCAAGATCATATTTTGAAGTGACCTTTGAAATTATGAAGGAAAAAATGTTGCAGCATGAGGACATAACAATAATGAGGTCAACAACTGAAATAAGAGTAAGCTACATTACTATCATTAAACAGTTATAGAATCATACTTGAGAACAGAGTGACTATTGACTTACGAGGATGAAATTGAAGTCTATTACAAAAAATAAGTTGCAAGAATTAATAGATATCAGAGATATACCTAAAGTATTAAAATTATACATATTATTTTAAGCCCAAAGTGTAACGGCGAATTTCAAACGTTTAGTACTAAATTATCATACTCCAAAACTTTGTTGTCTTTATAAGAAGTCCTATAACAATTTGTTCGTTGGTTTTTATTTTTCAGTTACTCTGGAGATACATAGACACAGGTAAGACACTGTTGAAATGAAATTACGTTGTAATACCAGACTAGAAACATTGATCGAAAGATCGCCAGGAGTTTTACATTATTTAAATCTTGCAATCAAAAGTCATACAGTTAGTTGATCCATCAGTGTTGTGGCTGTACAAGCTAACCCATGAAGCACATGAATCCCAAATTGTGGATAATTTAGACCACTAAAGTTAAATCGGTATCTTATTAAAGATCTTTAAATCCATGCTCAAATCCCAAGTCATGGCGGATACACTCCCCTGATATATGGGAATTAGCTAACTCAGCAGGTTAGTGTCGACAACCCTAAGATATTTACACGAATATATCTTGATGAAATATGCCGTGATAAAACTATCGGGTGAAAGTCGCCTAAGACTTACCTGTTCATTTGTAGTTCGTCCTTTGCTGACTAGAAAAATGTGAAATCCTGTCAGACCTAGCACAGGAAGCAGCAATAAGCCTACCAAAATTAACACACCAATGCTGAAAGACAAGTTAAGGAATACCAAAAGTTCTGTCTACAATTAAAGAGATACAAGATAAAGGATACGCAATGATGACTTTGTAGTGAGAGAGCTCATTTGTACGCATCAGGACATACGTCATGGACACGCCAAAAACAATTATCATATGAAGAGTTAATGTGAGTAGGAACGAGAAAAAATATCGATAGTTCCGTTTCCCAATACAATTGTTCAGCCAAGGACAATGATGATCAAACGTCTAAAAATCTATGGGCAGACTGAACAACTTACATCAATGCAATGTTTGCAAATAGAGCAATGAGAACAGCGAGGAGGTCTGTAAAATTCACATGTGACACACCATTTTAAACGGGTGGAAACCCCATTGATGTCGACAGACTTATACATCACAGTACGAGGGGAACCCTTCTCAACAGTAGTCATCTTTTCACCGGGAACACCTAATCAAAAACGGTTAGTGTGAGGGCCAAGACGCACCCATAGCATAATATCCAGGGTCCATGAAGGTCGCTTTGCCGAATGCAGATACCACAAAGAAAAACAGCAAAGAATGGAATACAATAAATGCATAACTAGTTTCTTTGCTAAAATCCCAACAACTGAAAAGTTAATAACAAGCTTACAATAACCTACATAAACACTAAATACAGAACAGTAAGAAATATAAGGAGAAACCAAGCAATCAGAGCTGGACCAATATTTTTTGAAAATGCTTGGCAACTCATAGTCCATCAGTAACGAAAACCCCATCAAATGTTAACATAACGGTGATTCGATTGAACATGCCGGCATCTAGAGCGGATAGCATAAACAAATAGCATGATAGTACTGATCGCTTAGAGTGAAAAATCACGTAGCTTTCGTGAGGTTTTACTACTTAAACTTCAAATAAACCGGATAATCTGCTCTGACTCAAGTTCTGGTTGTAAATGACAGTGTTAGTTAATATTTAGTGTGGTTTCAAGTTACTTCGATTGGTTATAGATGGAATAGGATAAGAGTGAATTTTGTTTCATCTCAATTAGTCATTTTTCTAACAAGCAACTTAAGACTGTCAGCAACACTTTTCATGTCCAGATTCAGATCTGTGTTGTAAAGATAGAAGGCTTATGGCCTGTTATTCCTTTTCTAGTATGCTTCAATGTGTGTCTTCGCTTGAATGAGTCAGTTGAAGGTGCATACGCCACTGCTTCGGCTAACCGGTTCCAGGACTTGATGAATCGGTGTGAAAACCTGTATGCCACGGGTATTTTATTTGTTCTTGACTTTTCTAATCACCTGTCATGTCCTCTGAGATGTCCCGCTTTAGTGGAAAGAAAAAGAAAGAATACATGGGGTCAGAAATCATTTATTAGTATTCTGTGCATCAAGATCAGATCACCTCTCAATCTGCAGCAGGACACAGTTAAGAGGTCTAGCTTTTCAAGCCGCTCTTTATATGGAAAACCCCGGAGCTCTGGAATTGCACTCGTAGCTGACCTCTGTACTTTTGCCAGGATATCCGAGTCACCATTTAAACATGGGCTTGCATCCTGAAAGCACTTCTCAAGCTTGGTTCTCACCAAGGTTGTGTATACTATAGTGAAAATGGTAGTATCTAACTTGATGAATATCTGTCTTAAAACTCAGAGGGTCCTAAACCCCTTATCTGCGACCTCCGGTAAATGGGCCGTGGTCTAGAGACCATGACTCACTGTAACCCCGAGATCCTCGTGGACTGGACCACGGGTGCAGGCACTCCCCCTATGCTTTATCTGTTTACTTTTGTATCACCAAAGTGCATGTAGTAACACTTTGCCACGTTGATAGGCATTAGCTACTCTTTAGACCAGTTGATCACATTATTTAAGTTTGCCTGAAGTGCGCATGCATCTGCATCTCTAGTTATTTCTCACCGAATTTTTACATCACCAGCGTATAATAACATAAGGGACTCTACTATACTTGGGAGATCATTTACATACAGTATAAAATGTAAAGGACTGGGGATAGAACCTTGAGGTACTTCACTCAGTACTGGTCTCCAGGTGGAGCACTTCGAATTTATTCATACTTCCTGTCTACTACCTACTATGAAGTCCTCAATCCATCTTAAGAGAGGTCCGGTAATACCAGGATTTTCTAGCTTCAAGAATAGTTTCTTTATTTAGTTCTTCGTCTAGATGAGGTGTCTGAGTTAAAATTGTCCCAAAAGAGTTTGCCATAGCCTCTGCTTTTTCCTCATCGTCCTCTATTAATTAAGATTCACTACCTGCTTCATTTAGGTTGGGAATCCGACGCTCCATTCATGTTTTGTAGTTTGTGTACGAGAATAGTCTTTTAGACTGCTTCAGTGCAGATTGTGCCAACTGCATTTTATATTTTCTCTGAGATTCTCTGACTTTATTTGTGCACGTGTTTCTTACCGATCCGTAACGTTCCATTGTACTTGCTGTGTCAAGGCTGATGGCAACATTCCAACATTTCTTCATTGCCTTAGTAGATGTCAAATATCCCAGCCTATCCAGGGATGGCCGTGCTTCTTTTTCTTTGGAATTGTCCAGGATATATATGGTTGAGTCACCCGATTGTAAAACTGCCCGAAATGTGTCCATGCCTCTTTTACTGATGCCCCTGAGTCAAATTCCTAGTTTTCCGCCGATACTGCAGAGTTGATTGCCTTCATGTCTGCCTTCCTTATGTTAGGACTAGCTGGCGCAACTGTTTGATGGGCAATATCAACCATGAATTTGAATAAGTTGCATGATCGCTTCCCCCTAGAGGTGGCAGGAAAGTCATTTGACTGACGTCGTCACCGTGTATGGAGACTAAGTCCAAGAGAGACAAGGAGTTTCGTAAGTCATATCTGGTGGGATCTCTAATGTGTTGGAACGAAGCTAGTACAATTGAGGTTTCTAACAGTTCTCCATCAAATGACGTTATCAATGGCTCTACTTATAAGTTTGCTCAGTTTATATACGACGTATTAAAGTCTCTTACTACAAGACTTTTATCTCTATTACACCTGGACTCAAGTTTGCTTAAGAAGGAAATCGTCTTCCACACATTCTGGACTGAGATATATCACAATTAGTTCAGTATCTTGCCATCTACATTTCAGTCTTCATCGCACCAGTCAACATGTCACTGATTCATGTGCCACTGCCTCAACAGCTCGTATAGTTAAGATATTTTTCCTATACACGATAACTTCGCCTCCCCTACGGTTTAATCTATCAGCCCTACTGGATAAAAAACCAGTCGGCTGAATTTTATTATCTGATACTTCTGACGTTAACTATGTTTCTGAGACAGCAATAACATCGGGTTTTTCAAAATCTACCTTTGTCTTGAGCTCTGCCATTTTAGTTGGTAGGCTGTGAGCATTTGTGTAGAACAACTTTAATCCCGTGTAGAACTTTCCCTTACCACCCGGAGTGGTTTGGAGATGGGTTGGCACCGAAATTTTACAAAGTAAAACCCCGTGAGGACGAGCTTTCTTCCATCGTCAAGGCGGCGCTCATTTATTTCCACTTCTGCAGGTTGTCTCTTAATACTGTCGACCAGATTGAGATCCTTTAGAATGTATATTCCGGATTCAATCAATTTGCATCAGTTCTTTCTTCAACCGTAGCAAAAGTATTCTTCAAGAGGTAACTTTTCTGAGTACTTTCAGAATCCACCTTATGTCTTATTCTATAAAGCTTGCAAATGCGAACTCTTGAAACTGTTCCTAGGAGTAACTTATATTAAGGACCTAATGTGACTGAGATCGTGCTCAAATATAGCCTTTGGTTCCTTTTCGGAAGATTTTCTGAACTTATGAAAAAAATGACTGACCTACCAGCGAGGTCCTTCTTAACAGGCTGCGGAATTTTAATTCCTGAAATCATTTCTTCCCTGCAATCCGTTTCTGATTTGGCGTCAATCGCAGAGGTTGCATTCTGTTTTCTTGATTTTCTTTTCCGCGATATTAATGTGAGACACTCAACAATCTTATTTTATGTCTTGATCACACCCTCTACACCACTCAAACTTGGCTCTCTCAAAGTTTGTTTTGCGTCGATATATAAATCCGGAAATGAAACGTGGATTCACATGCCTTAGCACCGTCTGTAATTAGTTTCTTCTCACGCGCTTTTTTCCCCGTAGCCATGCCTACATCCTTATGTTCGTTGTCTGATCGCTGGATGGGATCCACCTTTATGGTTCCATTGAAATCCAGAGCTGGGTTCATGATAACGCTCTTTATTTTGCTGTCGTTATATTTTCAAGACACGCTTTATGGACAGGTAGTGATATCCAAACGTGTTTTGTGTTCCTTAAAATTTTGTTGTGTTCTTCCAAAGTAAAAATGCTTTTCCTGATCCAAAGATTCTGCCCTGAGATTTGTATTTTGTAGGTTACTTTTCTTTTTGAGTCTTATTCGAATTAATCGATAGCTGCGAAAACGTCTCAGCTTACTATTCGGCATATAAGGTTTTTCAAGTCAATAGGCTAGTTTTAGTTTGTCTCAAACTTTTGTACTACTCGTTTTTAACTGTTTTCCCGTCTTGGATATTTTGTTTTTTTTCACGATTGTACACTTGTGCTTGGATTCGTTCAACAATTTATGTTTCATCATGGTCACTAAGATCTCATGCGAGCAGCTCGGATGCCATTTTACAATCCCATGTGGTTTGAAGGGTGATGGATGCAAAGGTTGGCTACAAGAAGCACGCATAGACCTCACAGTAACTGTTTGAAACAAACTCAGTAAGTTATATCTGAAGTGGGTATATATGATGTGCTGTATGAATGCTGAGGCTTTGCTGAGTAGTATTATTTTTCTCCTAACAGGTCTATGGAAAAGGTGGTCAGAATCGCTGAAAAAAGGTATTTCTTAGACGAATGGGCAAAGGAAGATCCTCACGGAACTGAAGGACATGGTCTAAAACGATATTGATTTTGATGAAACAAGCAACGAAACTAGTGAGAATATACTGAAACACAGGACCTCTAAAACATATACGGTGTTAGACTCTTTAATTAAACTTGTGTTAAAATAGGACGAGAATGTGAAAATACTGTCAGACATATCTTATTTTGAGCACAATGCCGCCAGGAAAACTACAGAGGAATCTCTTGAGACGTTCTTTCGCAGAAGAAATATCACTGTGCAGATTGTTCCGGAAAACACAAACCCTCATCATGCAGATATACGGAAATGGAATTTCATCAAGCAGTTCTTGAAGCTTAAGAACATTTTTGGCCAATAAGTGGTACGATTAGTCAGGAAGGACGGGGATTCTATAACTCGGCTGATGAGAATAACCTTTCCACCCTACAAAATGGCTGCCATCACCCTTAAATGATTTTATATCGACAGACACTAGTTACCAACTGTGTTCCACATACATCAGAGCAAACCGAAACTAGGATAGGGTCTACCGACTCAGGAGACAGTGGGTCGGTAAAATGCCTGTCCATTTACATGAGACATATTCAGACAAGCAGGACTAGAAAGCTCACGCCTTTTAAATAGAAAGCATCTATTTCGTACATAAGAATACTGCGAGTTTATCAAAGAAATGGATGAGTTACATGAATTGAATTGTGCTAATTGTACTCATTTTATAGAAATATTCGGAACGTTGAAAACTCAAACCACGAACTAGGAGATTACATAATCCTGCATAAATTTGTTCTACAATGACAGAAGAACAGGAGTGGGGGAGGCGGAGCTTCTCTAGAACTATAACCTTGCTTGGTGGCACACCGAGTGTACACTCAAGTGTTTATCAATCTTGATGAATCTTCACGGTGCCCAGTAAGGTTTTCTGACACATTGAAGCGTCTAGTTAAGGTCATTTGCAGGAAAACCACTGCTGGCAACAAGTACGACGATCATATGCTGAGGGGAGTATCCAACTTTA